ATGTCTTTTATACGATGAAATTTCAATTGAAAAGCAAAAAAAAAATAAAAAAAAAAAGAATTTTATTTTGTAAGGAAGAAATAATAATAAAGAAAAAAGAAAAAAGTAACTTAACTGTAAACGTTGCGTCTCGTAAATTTTGTTTTTTTGTTGTTGTTGCGTGGGGGCCTTTTTTTTTTTTTTTTTCCTTTTTAAAAGCAAAAAAAAAAAAAAAAAAAGTACGGGTGCGCGTGTTTGGTGGGCACGCACTCACACCCATTGACACGCCCTCTCGCCTGCATGCGCGACCGCCAGTGGCTGTTGTGGGTTCCAGTTTTTCTTCCTTCCCCGCCTTATGAGAGGAGCAAAGTAACAAAAATAAAAATAAAAAGAAGAATGACTCAACTGGACGGCAATAATGAAGTTTGCAGCGGGAGCGGAGGAGCGCGGTGTGCTCCGTAAAAGAAATGGTGGTGATCGAAGGAAAAAAAAAAAAGAAAATAAAGAATCAGCAGGAACATGAAATTCAACGAAAATAAAAGCGATAAAAAGAAGTGAGTCCTCTCTTCTGCCGTGATCGGGAGGTTACTTCCCCCCACAGCACGCATGGCTTGGCACATAACAAGAACAAAACACCCCCAAAAGGGTTCTCCTCCTTCCTCCCTTTATTTTTGGGTGCAGCGAGGAAGGGGCGGAGGCCCGGGGTCAAGAGGAGAGTGAGGGAGCGCAGAAGAGTAGCCACGTGGGACACTTTTGTTTTTTTGTTTGCATGGCGGTTAACGCCGGGTAACTTCATGTGTGTGTGTGTGTGTGTGCTGCGCCGAGACAAGGGTGAAAGGGGGGAGAAAAGGAGGGAAGGGGGTAAAACACGCACAAAAAAAAAAGTTATTATTTCTGAGGAGTAAAAAGGAAGAAAAGTACTATGACTTAGTGAGGTGCGTGCTTCTTCTCAAAGCACCCGAAAGAAGAAACACTGTGGAGGTGAGGCAAAGATGAGACGAAGAGAGCACGTTGCTATTAAGGAAGGAAAAGGAATAGCATCATATATAGTGTGCTTTATATATTATTTTTTTTTTCTTTTTTTTTTACTTTATTATAAAAGAACAAATTTTTATTTGCGTTGTTCCTTACACTTTTCCTCTCAGTGGCTCACGGCACACTCGCTACATAAGGGCGGGTGTGGCTTTCAAATTCCATCAGTTTACAGAAAAGTGAAAAGGCATGGAAGAGAACAAGAGGGAAAAGAAAAATTATCACAAGAAAAGGAATTAAAAAAGGAAAAAAAAGGAAATAAAAGGCAGGAGAAAAAAAAAAATGGAAAAGACCGATGCAAAGGTTTTGAAAAGGACCTGTTGTGCTCTTTGGTGTACATAAACGCACCAAGGTGCCGTATCTTGCCTTATCTTTGATGGTTTTTTTTTTTTTTTTTTTAATCCCTTCCCTAAAAAATAATCCGATGTGTGTATGTGTGTGTGGGAAGGGGGTATGTAACGCAATTTATGGGGATTAACTTTTTTTTTTTTCTCTCTTTGCAGAGTGGGTGGGGTCATTACTTTGTTCCGCGTGTTTTATTGTGTTGTTTTTTGTCTTCCCAGTCTTTTATTATTATTATTGTTTCGTTTTTTTTTGTGTGCACCTTTTTTTTTTCCTCCTTCCCCCTACCATTCCCCTCTCAGTTTTTTTTCTCTCCCCCCGTAGCGAAGGTCAAAGAAACTGCGCATGGGCCTTGGCTCATGACATTTTATTCACTTTTCTTTTTGCACGGGATACAAGTAACGGTGCGTCCTTGGGCTATTGCTACCGAGGGTGCTGCAACATCTTCTGCGTTGAAGAGGAATGGGTCAATGTCGAATTGTATTGATTACTCAATTTTCTGTGCGGAATGCAAAAGACTGCAATAGAAGAGTAGGATTTTTTCGGAGGGAAAAAGCAAAATAGGAGTTGGAGTGTGGGTGTGTGGGTGGGTGGAATGAAACGAATAAATGTACAAAGTCATGTATACGTCTTTTTTTTTTATATTCTGTTTTTGCTGATATATTTATTTATATTTATGTTTATATCATATTCTTGAGCGAGTCCATGTAGAGAATGAGGGTAGGGGAGGGAATAAAGGAAGAGCCTTTTTTTTATTATTGTTGTTGTCTTGTGCTTTTATTTTCGTGGGTTGTTTAATTTTTTTAGACACATGCTTGCGTGTGTTTTTTTCTTTTTTTCTTTTGCGCTTTAACGCCCATTCTGTGCTGTCCGATATATCCGAAGAGCCACTTTTTTCCCCTTTGGTACGGTCCAATGAAAGAGAAGTGTGGGGGCGCACGTGCAACCACGTTGATTGGCGGCTTAACGTCTTTCTTTCATGACAGCCATGGGGCGAGTGAATCACTGGATCCAAGGGTGCGTGGAGGCATGTCTTCGCGATGGGTACAAAGGGCGAATGGTGAGTGAGAGCGCCGTTAAATTTTCGTGTGGGGGAAAATAAAGCACAAGCTTGGGAGGGGAGAGGGAAAGAGAGAGTGTGAAGTGGTGGTGGCCGGTCTGCACTGGCGCTGGAAGCGTTTTTTTTTTTTTTTTTTTTTTCCTCCTTGAAACTCTTTTTTGTGTGCAGGGGGAAAAGCCAAAGTTACGGGAATCAAAAAAGGGGCGGGAATTTTTCAAGAAAAATGATGCGAGCGGGGACGGGTGGAAAATTTGTGGCGGTCGTGCGACGTTCGCTTTGTTGGAGTCCGCCGGGACGTGGGCGGGGACCCGCTCTTAACGTGCAGCGGCGCACGGTCATCACTGGGCAGATTCCAACGAGTCCCACTGGGGGCGATGCACCGGCGTCCAGCACGCCAGGATGGGAGCTGCGGCGCGGCCACCATTTGCACAGTAGCGTTGGTCTTCACACCTCTTTTCCTACCGCCTGCGGCCGAACGTTTAACCCTCAACTCTACTACGAGGTGCTGCAGGCTTGTTGTGATCAGCAGTGGCTCCAGGCCATTCAGAGAGAGTTGCGAAATGATAAGGAGTGGATGGATACACTTCGTCGTGAGGGCGGAGTGGCGAAGGCCATGAACGCCTTGACGGAGTCAACACACCATGATGATGAATTTATGATGAAGTTACGGGACACACTTAAGACGGACAAAAAAATGTCGTTAACTTTGTGCGCCATTCAGGAGAGCTACGAGCGTATTCGAAATAAACGGGACATGCATGAGACACAAGTAGCAGCGGATGGTGGAGACGATCCCTATGCAGCCATGCGACGAAAGCAACAGGGAGAATTTGGCCATAAATACCCCTCATTTTAGAAGGTCTTATTTTGTTGTTGTTTGCTTTTGTTGGTCTTTTTTTTTTTTTGCGTGGCCTCTATTTTTTCTGTGTTTTATTCTCTTCCCTTATCAATTGGCGTTTGTCCTCAATAACGGTGGTTGTGGGGTGGAGCCACAGGCGTCGCAATTAAATTGTGACTGCTTGCAGGTTCACTTTACATTTCCCTTGTAATATTATTGGTGTGCGTGCATTTGTCCCACATCTTTTTGAATGGCCGTTTTTTTTTTTTCTTTACCTTTTCAATGGCAGGAATGGTTGAATTGACTGCAAGCTGAATATGAAGATAGTACCACCAAACTTTGGTTACGTAGAAGAGCGCATTTTCCGTTGCGGTGCGCCAGAACCATGCCACTACGCTTTTTTAGCCTCACTAAAGCTTCGTACATGCGTGTTGTTGACGGAAAGCCATGATGAGGCGTTTGTGCGTTGGCTTCGCGAAAATAACGTCCACACTGTTTGCCCACTTTACGATGGCTCTAGAATGAATGGCCTTGGGGACAAAATGGGGTGTGTTGGTTACCACACTGGGAGTATGACCCTTTCTGAACCAGTAGTTGTGGATATTCTGCATGTGCTTGTCGATCCCATCAACTACCCTTTATTACTAACGTGCAGCGTAGGCCGGTATCGCACAGGCATCGTGTGTGGATGTCTTCGTAAGCTGCAGGGTTGGAGTTTGGTGTCCATCCTGGAGGAATACCGTAGGTATGCCCAAGATAAGGGACGTGCTGAAAACGAAGAGTTTATTGAGCTTTTTGACAAGGACTTGGTGAATCTGGAATTGAAGGATGGCCGAAGGCCAACTATTCTGTACCCCTACGATGTCTAAGCCTCATTTAGGAGGAGGAGGAGGAAGGGAGGGGAAATTGTCTTTTTATTTCGAAGCGGTTTGTATTTTACGTCTACAATATTATTATTATTTTATTATCATTATTTTTTTTTTGTTGTTGTTGCTTTGTGTGTGTGTTTTTTTTTGCTTTTCTTCTGGAAAACAGACATATGTGCCGCCACAATATTTTTTTTTCTGATGATTTTATGCGATTTGGGGTGGGTGAGGGTTGGGTTGTTGGTCCGGTTTGTATAGTGCGGCTCGAGAAAACTATCTTTCTTAACGGGGGAGAACCAAAAGACACACCTCCATTCACTCATCATCCGGCGGCTGAAAGAGAAAAAAAGTTCCAGCAACAAGAAAGGAACGCACCGACCTCCCTTCAAATATATATAGATATATACAAGGGTAGCATGAACGTGAGTGGATTTCGTGCGCTCGCACGCTGTGGCATTCAACGTGGCTTTAATGACTGCTTGAACCGAGGCCTGCCGCCGTGTGCGCGTAGGTCTCTCAGTGCCTCTTTGTCTCTCTCCATCACTTCTGTGCCCCACACATCGCTTTTTGCCCAATCGCGCACTCAGTTTGCGCAGGTGCCTGGAAAGCGGGACCAAGAGGCCTTTTTGTCGCAGTATAACCCACTTGAGGTTCTAGATCTTGATGAATCATGCACAGTAGAGGAAATTGACGAGGCTTTCAAGCGAATGAGCGCCAAGTATGGCCCTAATGGGCCCCGCCCTGACGCGCAGTTGTTGGATCGCGTATTTAGGGCGCATGCGATTCTCAAGGATCCGGGTTCGCCGTTCTACCTGCGTGCTCACTCCTCTGAGACAGACCGGCATCGTCTTCAATTTCAGCTTCTTCCAAAATCCAAACGTCGGATAATTGGATTTCAGGTTGGAATTCTGGTGCTTCTCCTAGCTGGACTTGCGATACTGGTGTTTGTCTTGATACTGCGCCCCATGAAACGTTCAATACGCGCCGCCACGCGTTGAGAGCGGTAGAGAGAGGGTGTGACAGGAGCGAGGGATAGTTGAATTGTGTTTTGTGTGTGAGTGTGGGAATGAGGTTGAAATTGTGGTTTATTTTTTATCGGGTGTAACAGAAAAAATATTTTTTGTTGTATTTTTTTTGTCGACTGTCTCGCATATTGTGATTCCTTTTTTTTTTTTTTGCGTGTGTGTTTTTGAGTTTGTCTTTTTTTGGACGTTTCTTTTCTTCCACCTCAACCCTTTCATTGTTTCCAGCACGGCTGGTAGGGATGCCGCTTCTTAACGCCGGAAAAAATGCAAGGACTGAATTGTCTGGGGCTTCAAACCTTGCGAATGATGGTGCGCCGCCGGACTACTCGGGGCCTTTATCGCAAAATTTTTCAGATAACCCAACAGCAGTCGTGGGTAAAGACACGAGGCCTAGCAATTCCAGCAAGAGTACGTCGCCATTATTCACTGCGACCCCCACCACAGTGTCACCAATATTAGAAGCACCAACCAAAGAAGAAGGTGGCAAGAAGGATTGCAGGTCCTTGAGAACGCGAGCACGTCACGCTGAACGTCGCAAAAAGGACGGTTTAATTACCGCGACTTCTTTGGCTGGAGCAGGACGTCGTGCGGCGGTATGGGTGGAGCAGTGGGATCGTGGATCTCGAGCCACTCGTCTTCTTATCCTTGAGGCCTTTATCTCGTTACATTCTTCGAGTAACACCAATCGGATGGAAACAGACTTGGGTGATTCCTCTATGCTTTTTTTCACACGTATTACGGCTTGGTTGCGTTTGACATGCAAGTTGGGCCATCCATTGCGCCTTCTTCTTGCTGCGATATCTTTGTTTGTGCGTGGTGTGCGATACTTGACCTGTCTTGTGGAGGTTGGTGGTGCACAGACTCTCATTGACACACTTGCGACTTGTCGCTTGGTCCCTGATGACCGCCGTGAAATTGCTTTGCTTTTATTATACATGGCAAACGCTGGAAGAGTGTATCGAGAAATGTTGTGCGATGATGATGATATTGACTTGCTATTACATGCGATGCGATGCGAAAGTGATTTGGAAATTTTGGACCTTCATGCGGCTTTGTTTCTTGTTTTGGGCGAGGGCAATAGCCCACGGGTGACATCTCGTGTTCAGTCTGGGGTGATTGGGATGATTCTTCACGATGAGACCACGAAGGGGGCGATGCTTCAGGCGGCACGGGTCCTGCGCATCTTTCAATCGTCAAGGGACAAAATGTATGCGGAAGCAATCGCAAGGGATTTGTTGGAGGACACTGGTACAGTGTCGGTGGTGGGAATCGAGTCCAATTTTTCAACCGAAAGTGCACGGCAGTTGCTAGAGGCTCTATTTTTCTTGCTGTCTCACGAAGATTTGTCTCTCCGTGTCGAGGGCCTGGAATTACTGACTATGGTGGCGAAGAACATTCAACTTACTGGTCACATTTTGACCCGCTGTTTTGACGTGTTGGACGAGGATCGTTTGGCCATTGAACCCAAGGACAACCTGACCGCGGTCATGGTTTTTAGACGCAACCAAATTTCGTTTGGCAGTACTGCAGTCAACATTATGCTCCTTGACACAAAATGTGAGGCGCGTCAGCGGCTGACATTTGACATCATAGCGCGGCGAAGTGCCCACTTTTCTCTACTGAAGTACCTGCGGCTTCTGGAAAGTGGGTATACAACCTCTATTCTGGACTGTTGCCGGGCCTTGCAGCTCATATGTCGCGGGGCACTCATGCAGGAGCGGCATGGCGTGACAGGCGGCGCAGAGGTTGGGGTACCACTGGGGAAAGCCGCCAATTACATCCGCGAGGTTGTGGGTGACACGCTTTACAGTGTGCTTTTGTATGAGGATCTGACGGAGGATGAAGCCTTTTCCATCGCCCGCTCCGTCACCTCATCGGAATTGTGAATGTAAAGAAAAACGGGTGAAAAAAAAAAGAACAAAAATAACAATAACAACAAGACGCCAGGCCGAAGGTGAATTAAAGAAATGAGTCCATTTCATCTTCCGTATTGGACCTTTTTTTTCAACGTTCTTCTTGCTGTCCTGTCGTTTTAGCAAGAGCGGAAAAGATGACGCATCCGTCAAGCGCTTATTGTTTTTTTTTTTTTTTTTTTTTTGACTGCGGGCTTTTTGTCTTCTGCCGACAGAATTTGTGGAGCGGGCGGGCATGATCCCACGTGGGTGACGGCAAAAGGAGGAGACAAAAATGTATTTATTATTATTATTATTATTATTATTGCGACTTTTATATTTACCTTTTCTTGAACAGGAAAAGAAAAAAGAAAGGAAAAAAAAGAGGGAAAAACGAGAAGGAAAGAGTCGAAGAAATGTCTGCGGAGCGTGCCATAGGTAGTACGATCACCCTCATTACCAACAGCCTGATCCGCTACGAGGGTACCCTGGGCCAAATTGATGGACCAAATAATACCGTCAGCCTGACAAATGTGCGTGTGTTCGGCACGGAGGGCCGCGGTCAGGAGGCGGGACTGGCCCAAATCCCCCCTGCCGATCAGCTTTTTGACCAGATTGTATTCCGCGGATCCGACATCAAGGAGCTGACGGTGTTTGAGGAGCCTCATAATGCCATGATGGACCCAGCTGTTGTGACTGCACTTCCGGCGCGAAATAATTCGGCCAAGACGGTGTCTATAAACCAGCGAAACGGACCCTCCTCAGGCAACACCAGTGCACAGTACCATCAAACACACCACCAGCACCAGCACCAGCATCAGCATCAGCAGCAACAGCGCTACGGCGGCGGTGGATACCGTCGTGGCGGCGGTAGTGGCTATCGCGGGTCGCGTCGTGTGGATGGGCACACGGGACAGGATTTCCGTCCTGCTACAGGGGCCGCGAAGGAAGAGTTTAAAGACGACTTTGATTTTTCAAAGAGCCGAGAGGAGTTTGAGAAGAAGAAGAGCGAGTTTGAAAAGGCCAAGGAAGACGCCAAAGTTCATAGCAAGGCCTACGACAAGAGCAGTTTCTTTGACAAAATTTCTTGCGACCAGCAGGATCGTGCTCTTCGTATGGATCGTGAGGGGGTGAAGAGAGCCGATGCAGAGACGTTTGGCAGTGAGATGGTTGGCAACATGCGTGGCCCTCGTCGTGGTCGCGGTGGACGTGGCCGCTACAACGGCCGCTATAATTGATGTCTTCTCTACACACACGAACGTTGATGGCGCGGTTTTAGTCCAATGCAGACATTCACACCCACTTATATATCTTTTATCTTTATATTTATACGTATCTGCATGCATGCGCACAGTTCTTTTCTGTTTCCGGAGAAATGAGTGAGAGGGTGGTTTGCGAACTGACGGCCTGGAGGGAGGGAAAGGGAATGAAGGAATTTGTGTGCTGCCCTCTGCGTGCACACTTCTAAGACGGGAGAGGAGAGTGCGCAGCAGCAATTAAAAAAAAAAAAAGGGAAAAAGACAATAAAGGTAAAAAAGGAAAAAGAGGAAAAACGAGAAGGAAAAGTTGATATGACGAAAAGAAAAAAAAAAGGAGAAAAAAAAAAAGAAAACTGTTGAAGAGAAGCCGAAAAAAGAAGATGAGAAGAAAAAAAAAAAAAGTAAAAAGAACAGACAAAAAAATACAAAAAACAAATTCCCGACGCAACTCTCCAACAAAACAGCATAAAGAAGAAAAAGAAGGGGATGAAAAAGAGAAGAAGAAAAAAAAAACATTTGCGTCGGGGTGGGGGCGGAAAGAAAAAAAAAAGAGCAAAAAACAACAACAACAACAACAAGGACGAAATGGTGCTGTTGGTCGACATAGTCCAATGGGAGGGGGCGGGGGGAATGACCATTCGTGTGGTGGGGGCGGTGAGGAAACGGTCTTGGCGACGTGGCAACCAGAATTGCCTGTACAGCAGGCACGGATACATAGGCAAGGATACAATGTTTCATTGTTATTATAATTCTTCCTTGACATCCCCATTGTTTGTCTTCTGTATTTACTTTTTTTTTGTTTGTTTCTTTCTTTTACCCACACTTCCGCCTTTATTTGTTTTCTCTCTTTTACTCGACGGGTCCGCTCCACGCTGTGCCTGCGGGAATATATATATATATATATATATCCTCTCTTGTTCTGCATGTGTGTGTTCATTCAATTTCTTGTAGTCGGGTAGCACAGTTCCGTCTGTTGTTGTTGTTTTTCTTTTTTTTTCTTTGTGTTTATTTATTTATTTTTACGCCTCGTTACACGTGTTCATAATATATTGAAGTGACTTCTCCTGTACCGTAATCATTGATTTACTCCCTTTTTGTTCTCTTCTGCAGTGTTTTGCTGTGTGGGCATGCGTGTTACCGACGGTTGTCGTTGCTGTTCTTCTTGTTGTGATGTTGGCTCAATACCCACTCTCTTTCCATCCCTATTCCCTTCTCCGCTTGCGAGTTTTTTTTTTTTTGCTCTTATTATTATTGAATGAAATGCCGGTTTTTTTTTTTTTTTTTTTTTTTTTTTGGGTTTCTATTGTTTGTTTGCTTGTTTCGATTGTGTATTCCATTCTTTCTGTGCGTCCATGTGGGGCGATTTATTTCCAGCGGTTTGCTGCGTGCGATGGATGAGGGGAATCCTCCTGCATTCATGCCCATAAATGCGTGTGATCTTTGTGTATGAATGTGGGAGGAGGGAAGTGCGAGAGCAGGAGTGGGGTGGAAGCCATGTAATGAAGATACGACGCTGGCCATGGACAGAAGGCGACGGTAGTGTCTGCAAGCGAGTGTGAAAATGTCGTCAAATGACGACAAGGGGCGCCATACGTACGTGCAGGCAACACTGAAACATTGACTCGTTTGTTTTTAAATATCTTCTCTTTTTTTTTTTTTTGTTCGTTTCTGTTTGATCCCTCTCAGGGAGTTGTTTTTGTGTGTTCAGCGGCGCAACGACAACATCGTTGCCAGTGCGACTGGGGGAGGGAAAAGATGGCTGCATCGAGGCAATAAACACGCAATTTAGGGGACACGAAGAGGAGTGACTGTCAGCGGGGAGGAAAAGAGAGCAGGCACACGCGCACCTGAAAAAGTAAAAGTCAGGAAGAATATATATATATATATATTAGAAAACCGGGAAAGCGGCTTCTTGAAGGATTTTTTTTTTTTTTTTTTTTGGCAAGCCGGGGTGAGATTTGAGGAGGCGAGGGTAATTGATAGAAGAGAGCTGGAAACGTTTATTTTTCTCTTTTTTTTTGGGGGGGGGGGGGGGGGGAGAGGGATGCGGGAAAGAGAGGATGGAACGAGTCGGTATCGACGAGGCAACAGAGATGAAAATGACAGAAGGAAGCCACACATCTATTGCAAACGCCGAGAGAGGAGGGGGGAAACACACACGATGTATATGTATGTCTATACATATACACATACATAAATATATATACACACATTTGTATGGACGGGGAGGGGGAAAGCAATGAACGCATGAAGACAGAAAACAACAACGAAAAAAACATTAAAAACAGAAGTGCAGTTGTTGTGTGTGTGGGAAGGGGGGGGGGGTGGCGGACGCTTTTTTGTTTTTTTTTTTCTTTTATTTTTTTTTTAGCCAGGCTTTCAATTCGCAGCTAAAAAGAAAAAAAGGGGGGAGGCAACTACTGTGGCCGAAACCACGAGTTGCTGCCGTACGCCCGAGCGCAATCGAAGGCACTCGGACGGAGACGGGCGGGTGGGGATTCGTTTTTTTGTTTTTTTATGCCCACACGAGACCCCTCTCCCCTAAAAAAAAAAAGAAAAAAAAAGAAGAAAAACGTGCAAATAAAAAAAAAAACTGAAGTGAAGCCCGGGAATACGGACGAAAAAAAAAAAAAAATGCGAAGAAGAGGATTCTCTTTGCAGAAAACAAGGAAGAAAAAGAAAAAAAAAAGAAGAGGATAAAAGAAGGGTATGTTGGGAGTGCAGCAAGAAGAACACGATGAGTGAGCGGAGGGATAGAGAGAATGAGGACGCGGAGGGGTGGGGTGGGTGGAGAAAAGGGATGACGAAAGGAAAAAGTAGATAAATTCAAGAAAAAAACAACAACATCAATTCAAAGGGATACCCGATGAATAACTCCTCTTGCCAAACTGGGGGTCCTAGCTGTGCATCCCACCCTTTCTGTTGTTGCCGGCTACGATTGATTTCCCCTATCCGTATTGTGTCAGCATGAATTATTAGTCACGACGGGCTGATGTGTGTCATACCTATTTCCTCTCCTTTATTTTTCCCTTTTCTCTTCATATATTTCTTTTTTTTCTTATTTTTATTTTTGATTACTGATCACATTTAATGTTTGGCGTGGAGCAGGTGGTGACGGCGACCATTTGCGTGTGAGAAATCCACTGCTCCACTCTTGCGTCAGGGTGCGAGTCCACAGAAAGAGAACACCCAAGAGTACGGCAGTGATCCGCGTCTCTCGAGTGTACCTTCTTAAAGAACTTTGTTTCTTGGAGAAGGTCTATCCGACAGGCAAAGGAAAACAAGAGATCAACACCAACAAGGTTTTTTTTTTTTTTTTTGGAGGGGGACGTGCGGCAGACGACCACAGTGAGACGCTCACGGAAGAGGATTTTTAAAAAAGGACTGATCGACAGGGTGGATAATGCTTGAAAATGACTCCCACAATAGTTCCGAGCATGTTTTTTGCATGGAAAAGGAAACTGAGCGGGTTGCGAGAGAGGAAAGTCCTATGGAACGGTATGCCTCACTCTTGCTGTGTGAAGCAGATAGGCACCAGCGCCTGCGACAGGCATTGCATAAAAGGCTGAGACATGTTCAGTTTTTCCCCAATTCAGTCTCTGCCGGTTTTCTAGGTTTGCCGGTCTCCCCATCTAAGAACGGCTTCTCGGTGAACACGGCCGATGATGCGGATGCAGCTTCCGCGATCCTAAAGCAGAAGGGAACACATAACGACGCTGACATTGTACCTCAACTCACAAGTGAGTTGATCTCGCATATTACGACGGATTGGTCCTCCGTGGAGGCTTCTCAGGAGATGGTGATAAAACACATTTGTGAGTTACCTACTAGTACGGATGACGAGTTTCAGCTTATTCAGCTGATACAAAGTGATAAAATACGAAGGATGGAGGACATGTACCTCTTGTTAGAGATGTGTTTTAAACGGATGATTATGTCTTCTTATTCAAGGGCCGGGGAAGAGTCAGCGGAGGGACCAGTAGCTTTTCCCGTGGGTGCTCACAACGATGTTGTCAAGGGGGAGTTGTTGTCTAATGAAAAAAGGGTGATTGGAAATACAAATTTTTTTTTGCCTGCCGTTCCAGAGCTGCTAGATCTTTGTGACACAATGGATTTGTGTCTCTCGCAGTGCCAGGAAACACGTCAGAAAATACAGCACCAGAAGAATGTGGTTTGTGGGGCTTTTGGCGTGTTGGCGATGAAACGACGTCGAGTTCACCTGACGACTGTGATCCGCATGCTTCGCTTCATTGAGCAGAGACATAAACAAACACGGGACATAAATATTTTCTTGAAAGCTGGTCGTTTTGCGGAAGTGGTGTTGTCGTTGCATCAGCTACGAATTCAATACGAGATGCGAAAGCCCGTCTTAGAATCTGAGGAAGAAACCTTGGAGATGATGTGCGAGGCAACCACTCTTGGAGAGACAGTTCTGAAGAAGCACCTTTACCTCTGCACTCAAGGTGTAAAGGCTTTGGGTTTGGCCTTGCACAATCGTCTTTTTCAAGTACTGGACTCACTTCAGGACACATGCCTTGTTTGGAGCAAAGATTTAGTTTGCTCTGCCCTGCGTTTGGCGTATGGCGCACATGCACTCTGCTGCTGGAAGGGTAAAACAACAAAGGCATTAAATCAGCACTCTAGCAACAACGCTGGAAATTTGACAGCCGGACGCCTCATGGAAGCATACGTGATGGATAAATTACATGAAGTGGTCAATGAAAACATTAAAAATTCTGAAATTAGCGGAGGCGGAATAGCGGTGTTGGCAGAGAGTGTGACGCTTTCAGAGGTGCGGCGTTGCACTTCTCAACTGCTCACCAAGGTTAGCTCATTTTTACGTGCTGTTTTGCTGCTTCAGCGGTGCTTTGAGGCACTCTTTGCATCAGAGAGCCCTGATAATTGTATGAAGGATGATTGCCTAACTTTTGAGCAGGCAATTGAGAGGTTTTTAGGAGATGATTTCGCTTTTTGTAAGGACTTGAGTAGTGAAGATGAAGCTGCGGTGAGAAATTACATTTATGACGTTAATTCACTCAAAAAAGTATATGAGGATTGCTGCGGCATTGGACGCCATGCTGTGAAGGAGGCTTTGCGGTTGGTTTTATCGTACCAGACACACTTACCGCTGGAGAATTTGACGCTTTTGGAATTGCTTCTCTCCTATCGTCTTTTATTTTATTTTGTAGACATTTGCCGGCCCGTGTTTCCAACGGATGACGATTTTGCTGGCAATATAACTGCAGAAATGGAGGCCCGGTTGGCCATGTTGGTGAAGAGGAATTATTTGACTGCCCAAGCAGACACCCTTGGCCAGCTGTTAAGGAACGATACGGGAATGTTTGTAGGGGCGACAGAAGACGATCTCCCGCCGCTTTATCCCCTTCTGCCGTGTGAGTTGGAGTTGGAAGGAAACGCGGCACATAAATATCTGTTAGTGCCACCCGTACGCTTTTGTTACTGCAGCAAGGGGAAAGTATTAATATCCCACATCAAATGCAGCGAAGAGGAAGATATGGTAATGCTAAACCCGTTTTTAAATACACAGGCTTTTTTAAGCCCCGAGGCAATACCTGCTGCTGATACGTTTCGTATTCGATTGTTTTCATCCCGGGATGCTCTTGAAGTATTCACCTTTTCTAGCCTCATGGGGGTGAAAATGATGGTGGAGAACACAATGTACGCCCAGATGTTTCGTCGCGTAGCTCTTGCGCTTGTATATGTGAACCTTGGGATTACATCTCTCTACGTGTGGTACATTCTCTCGTATTTTGTCTCTAGTGGTGATCAATGGTTTTTTCGTTCAACGGCTGTGGATGGGGAGCTGAAGCAATTTGCAAGGATATTACGCGATGAGTATCTACCCCGGTCTTTTGACTGGAATAGAGTTGATTCGAGTCCTTCCTTGGTGTGGAGGAGCGTCGTGAACAGCCGTCAGCATCTCTTTGCCGCCGTGGAGCGAGCCACAGGCCTTTGCAGTGTGCTCTCCATCGGCACTGCCTTCAAGGCCATACTTTCTGCTTTAAAACCTTTGTTGCCAGTGGATGAGCTTGGCCAGCTGGACTCTGTGAAGGAGTTGATGGGGCGATTGTGCACGTGCATCAGTCAAAATGGGTTACGGTTACTTAGTAACCAGCTGTTGTCGTCTAATGCCTTCGCTATCTCAATGGAGGAGTTTCACTGGGATGGTTCTGCAGAGAGCTTTCCAATTGCAGTTTCTAAAGTGAAGGGGAGTTGTAGTTTTTCCTATCCAGTACGTCAAGTTATGGAGGCATTCCTGCGGTGCCAACACGAATTGCGGGAGTTGTATCGTGATGCTCCAAGTGTGAGTTTGAGGCGTCTTTTGGACCATATGATTTTGAATGTATTCACGGGTTTTGTCGAGGGTGTTTCAAGAATACGTAAGTTCAATTCGTTTGGTGAACAACAACTGCTTCATGACGCGGAGTATATTTGTCACGAGATGTTTTGTGCTCAGCCCACATTAAATCGAAGGCCCATCATTTTCTACGTTCAGCGCTACGCGTTGGCCATGACGCTTTCATCGGGGCTCGCCGAGCTTGTGACTACGATGCACCATCTTTATACAACCCGTCAGCTTATCGCGTTGACCGCGAGGCTGGATTTGTCGAAGCGAAGGGATGTGGAGCATCTCATTCAGCGCACACATGTACGAGATGAAATTCCGTACTGCTTGATCGAGGAGATTGCTTAATAATAGTGACAAGTTTTGTTTTTATGATGACAGTTTGGCGGAGGGGAAAGCGACATTTTTGTATTTTTGAATTGGAGGGATAACATGCACACACACACAAAAAAAAAAAAAAAAAAAGAATTGGTGTGAAAATGGGACAAGAAACGTTTTTTTTTTTTTTTTTTTTTTTGTGATTATTTTATTTTTTATATGAGTTGTTTATTAGCGACTGTTTACTGCACAATTGATTTTGAAACTGGGAGAGTGGGACCTGGTCTGGTGACTGTTTGCTTGTGCGTGTGTGTTTGTGTGTGAGGGTTGTGCACTCTTGTCTTGTCGGTTTCTTTTTTTTTTTTAGTGTGCACAAGATATCTTCTCTGGGGAGCATTGTCTGTTTTGATGGTGATGGGCACTTCTGCAGAGCGAGGACAGACACGTCTTTATGTGCGTATGGAAGGTCTTCCTCCCTTCGCCTTGATTGTGAGCGAGGACTTGTCACCTGAAGCACTAGAGTATGTTGCACGGCAATACGTGCGCAATCGATACGGGTCGGGGGCTGGCACGGACCATCTGTTGGTGCGGCGCATTAACTTTGCAGGGAGTGATAAGCTGATGGATTTTGCTAAAGGGGAGAAGACGCATTCAATTGTCAAGCCTCTCGTTAACAAGACGTTGGCGGGAACGTCGACCGACCATATGGGGAATAATTTTGCGTTTGTGAAGACATTACCGGCTTACCATGGCTCCGAATCTCCTGAGGCCATTCGCGGGTCCTACCGAACATCGGATGCACCAGTTTTGAATGAGAACCTTCCAGAAGTCTCAGAGGGTGGCGGTGCTGCCGCTTTTATTCCCTCTTCCACATATATGTCGTTTATAGGTTTTTCTCGTCTAGTTCGGATGATGACGGATCCACACAATCCCCAGCGGGATTTGTTTACCCGCGTTGTCCTTCTGACGTATCGTCAGTTTGCAACACCGGAGGAACTCTTGGAGCAGTTGATTGAGCGTTATGAGGTCCCGGCCCTCTCAAGGCCTGGTGAGAGCGATCGAAGCCCTTTGGTTCATCAATTTTACATGGAACTGCGTCGCGATATTCAACGCGCCGTGTTTAATGTTTTGGAGTTATGGGTTGAAAATTACTACGAGGACTTTTCCAATGATGTACTGTTTCGTCGTCTAGTCGCATTCTCCAAGGAGAAGATAGACCAGTCTGGAGCCCCCGCGGCGCTGTTGTCGCTGATGGCAAAGGGCGACCGAACTGCACTGAATAGTAGTACGCCAACCGTTCTTCCGGGAGTACCCAGAGGAGGTGAAACACCGACCGCCGTGTTGATTCAGTACTCACCACGAGAAATTGCCGCCCAGCTGACAATTTTAACGTCTTACGTGCATCGCCAACTTAAAGGACCTGAGCTTCTTGGACAGCGTTGGAATGCGGATGAAGCAAGCTCCATAAGGAACTTTATTCAATATAGGGATTTTTTTTCTTCTGTCAATAATTGGGTGTCATACGCCGTGGTTTCTGAGAGGGATTTGTCACAGCGGTCCAAAAATTTGGATTTGTTAATGCTCGTGTGTGATGAACTTATCAAGCTACGGAACTGGGACATGCTAGTTGCTCTCCATGGTGGAATGAGGGCGCCAGCAGTGAAGCGATTGAGCCGGACGTGGGCGTCTCTTTCCCGCGAAACCGCAGAACTTTTCACTCGACTGCGAAAAATGCTGGGTTCTGATGCAGACCACAAAACATTTAAGGAAACAATGCGAAAAGGGAGTCGCTTGCAATTTCCGTGCGTCACCATATTTCTTCAGGAGATGAAGGTGTTGGAAGAGAGCAAATGCTTTCAAGAAGGCCTTGTGAATTTTGGACGTTGCTTGCAGCAATACCGTCTCCTGCAGACTCTTCTTCAGGGCAAGGAAGTAAGGGTTGACCATTTGATGCCTAAAAACGAGTTGATGGGAACATTTTCCGCTTGGGTCCCTGTGGATGCATCTCTCTTGATGCAGCTCTCTGAGGAGGCGGAGAAGCCGTAGTCAGTTGAACTATTTTTTTTTTTTTTTTGGTTATTATTATTATTATCACATTCTTTTTTTTTTTTTTTTTTTTATCGTCCACAGGAAAACTACTCTTAAACGTGGTTCCCCTTTATTTATACTTGTTGGGGGAGCAGTTGTTGTATACTTGGATATGCAATTGGTATGTTATTTTTTTTTTTTTTTTTGCTGGGTGCCGTTGAAAATTTAAGCCACGTCTTTTTTTTTTACATTTTTTTTCTAATTTTGATAAGCCTTTTTCTCTAGTTTTTTATTAGCGTGACCCAAGCCATGAGATCATCTCAGTATATTTGGCGCCCCTATCATCCGGAGACGCTTTGTGATCTGAGGCGTTTTGCTTCAACCATTCGCCTTCAAACGAATTTTGGTGAGGCTACGCCGGCGCAGCGGCCCAAAAACTCCTTTTCACCCCTCTACGTCACTGAGCCCGCGTCGAAAAAAGGGTCATTTTGGCGGTATATGCGATCCGCTCGGGATGAAGCACCCTACATTGCATTGGCTGTGGCTGGTGTGGGGTTCTACAGCATGGCGACTCTTGCGATTCCTGCGGGCTTTGGACAGCTTATTGACTACGCCAGCAAAGGAGAACTACCTCTTGGGACGTCTGCGCAGCTGTTGGGATGGTTTACCCTTTCAGGCGTAGCCAACTTTTTGCGTTTGGCGTGTATTGGTTATGCTGGAGAACGTGTCATTGCACGTCTAAGAAGTCGCCTCTACAATGGATTTCTCGCTCAGCCGACGACTTTCTTTGATTCTTCTGAAAACGCCACAGGATCTTTGTTGCAGCGTCTTTCTATGGACTGCAATGTCGTGGGTAGCTCGCTCACAGAAGCTGTAACGCAAGGGAGTAAGAATCTTCTTCAGACAGTGGGTAGTATCGGCATTATGCTTTACTATTCCCCAATTTTGACGGGTGTGATATGTGGCATGGTTCCACCCTTGGCGGTATTTGCTGGTTTTTACGGTCGCTATGTTCGGCGACTGCAGCAACAGATGCAGGATGCTCTCGCTGTAAAGGGAACCGTTGCGGCAGAACGATTGGGTAACATTCGTACTGTAAAGGCTTTTGCTCGGGAGTCTGAAGAATTGAAATGGTATGAAAAAAAAGTCGATGCTGTTTTTCAGATCAGTAAACGCATGTTGTTTTACAACGCCTCTTATATGGCTTCACTGCAGTTTGTGGGGTATGGTGCATTGTACTGCATCATTTGGGCAGGATCCCTTCTTGTAGCGTCAAATAATTTGTCACCCGGGGTGCTTTTCTCCTTTGTGCTTTACACGGTGTACTGTGGTATTGGACTCATGGGTCTGACGAATCTGGCAACAGAAATCAACAAGGGGTACGGCGCCAGTTTGCGTATTTATGACGTTTTGGAGGAGGAGGAATTACTGCAGAAGGCGCAGGATAAAACAAAGGCGACGATTCCTTTGGAGTGCAAGTGGAACATCAAACTTAGCAATGTGTCTTTTGCTTACCCGACACGTCTCGAAGCACCAGTCTATGAAAATTTGAATTTGGAGATTGCACCATCGCGCTGCACATGCGTGGTAGGTAGCAGTGGTTCTGGTAAGAGTTCACTGGCGCTGTTGCTTCTGAAGTTGTACAGCCCGACGCGGGGCACCATTACTATTGACGGCCACGATCTGAGTAGTCTAGACACGCGTTGGCTTCGTGGTAAAATTGGCTATGTTTCTCAGGAGCCCGTGCTTTTTGGTGGATCGATTGCCCAGAACATCGCATATGGCGCACCCGATTACAAATGGGACGACCCGATTGACAGATGGTTGTATTCCTCCATTGTTGACGCGTCCATGCGTGCTAACGTACACGACTTTGTTTCAGCTCTTCCGCAAGGCTACGATACTTTTGTGGGCGAAGGTGGCCGGTCACTCTCTGGTGGCCAAAAGCAGCGTATTGCTATTGCACGTGCGCTGCTGCGGGCACCCAACATTTTGATTCTTGACGAGGCAACCTCTTCTCTCGACACCGAGTCGGAGGTGGTGGTCCATGAGGCAATTAGCCGACTCATTGAAGATGCCAGAAGGGGTAAGGAGAAACGCACTGTTCTTATGTTTGCTCACAAACTAAGTATGATTCGTAAGGCTGATCACATTGTATTAATTGACAAGGGGAAGGTTGCGGTGCAGGGAAGCTTTGAAGAAGTTCAAAATAACCCCCTGTTCTGTCAGCTCGTCGGTCTGTCTCCAGGCATCGTGCATGGGCCCCTCAGTTCCACAGAGAACAGGCGAAAATAGATACACGTGATACATGAATTTTCTGCAGGGAATTATTTGGACGAAAGTGACGCCTTACAAATATGCCCGCGCCCGAGCAAGAAAAAAAAAACAGCAGCAAAAAAAAAAAAAAAAGGAAAAAAGAAGGCATGGGCGTCAACTAAATTTGAATGATATAAAAGAGTGGAGAAGAAATTAGCGGTGTGAAAGATTTTTTGTTTCCCTTCGTTTTTTTTTTGTTGTTTTTGCTTCTCTTTTTTTTTTTTTTTTTTCTTCTCTTTGCGCCTGATAGGAGAAAATGTTAACAAAGCATGAATATTGCCGGATCTTGAGGCGGAGTAGAACTATTTTTTCCTCCCTCCCTCAATATCCACCGCCTCTTTATGTAATGGAGGACGAAAGAAAGAGAAAGAGGGAGAGAGAGAGAGAGAGAGATTGTGTCTCTCCCGCTGTGTGTGTGTTTCCCTTGTTGAATGTTGGTTTTCTTTTCAATTTTCTCTCTGCCAAACGAAAAATTTGTTTTTATTTTTTTATTTATTTTGCCACGATTACCATTTTACAATATCATAACCAGCTGTCTAATATATTTTTATTTATTTGTTTATCTGTCCATGCATATATATATATGCATGTAGCGTATATAGTATTTATATACTTGCTTACTGCTGTATTGTGCTCTCTGAGTCGAATTGTCTTTTTCTTTCTCTTTATTGATTGCTAAGGGAGAGGTGAAACGAAATAATAATAATAATAACAATAATAATAAAACGAAAGAGAAAGAGAAATAGGATAAGGGGGAGGAAAATAAGTAAGGAGTCACGTGAAGGGGGATAAGGGCACACATGTCTGTGGAGCGGGGTTCCAACAACGCGCCGACGGAGGAGGAGTCGCAACAACCACCGCCCTCAGCATTGGTGCAGAAGCGGGAGTCGAGGAGTGAACGATCAACAGCGACTACCCAACGTACCCCTGAGCAGCGCCCTAAAAACGGCGAGGAGATGTTTCCAAGCAATGGCAGCTCCTTTTCCATGTCTTGGCCTAGTTGTGCCACGGATCCTGAGGCATTGAGGAACCTTATTGTGAATTATCTTCCTCCAATGATGGATGAAACGCAGCTTTACGGTCTCTTTGGCCAATTTGGTCCCATTGAAAGCGTAAAGATAATCTATGATAAGGAAACGCGAGAGAGCCGTGGGTATGGTTTTGTGAAGTACGTTCACTATTTTAGTGCGTCATATGCCGCAAACTCGCTTAATGGGTACTGCATCGCAGGGAAGCGTCTTAAAGTGGCATACGCTAATGTGGAGGCTGCGTGGGAGGCTTACAGGGCATTGAGGGCGTCATCCATGATGTTCTCTGCGCAGCAACAGGCGGCTTTGCAGAATGTTTTCTACCAACAAATGCTTTTGGCACGGCAAGAGGAGGGGGATCGTCGCTAGGGGGTCGCAGTATGTTTGCTTTGATGTACAAGTAATGATCCAAAAATATATCTAATAATTTTTTTTTTTTCTTGTGTGTATGCGTGCGTGCGTGTGTGATGTGTGGGTTATAGAGGACCGATTATTTGGTTTGCTCTTTGTTCAGCTACATCAATTTTTTTTTTTTTTCTTGTTGTTCTTGTCTTCCTGATTTACTTCCCCGCCTTTATGTGTGTAGTATGCGTCATGAATGAACGAATGAGTGCGTGTGCGTATGTGTGAGTTTGGGCGTTTTTTTATTTGAGACTTAAGTCTTTCTCAATACGTGGTGCGCACGTATCCTCTGTGTGCGTGTGTGTTTTCTTTTTTTTTTCGACACAACTGTGGACGATTGCAAGCAACAACATATGCTGAAGGAATTTAAAAGCAGTAAAAAAAAAAAAAAAAAAAAAAAAGAGAAAAGAGAGAAAAGAGAAAAAAGGAAAGGAAAAAGTGCAAGGTGGAGAGTTGTACGATGCAACAGGAATAAAACAACACATTTGCAGAGGCGTGGGCGCACGAATACACGGGGGGCGGAAGAAGGACGGAAGGGGATACAAAAAGAAGAAGGGTGTAGAAATATTAATGAAACGCTGTACTCGGTTTTTTAATTGCAGCTGCATTTCTGGGCGAACGTCACGAAAAAAGTAGTTCTTTTTCTTTTTTCTCCTTATTGCCGTGTGTTTGTGTGTGGATTTTTACAAATGATCGGAACCTGAGCGTCTTCTTTAACCTTTGTAGTCAATCCTCCTTTCCCGAAGGAAGAGAAAAGAAGAAGAAGGGTTGGGCTTTTATTTTACCACTTTTTCTTTTTTATTATTAAATTGTTGTTATTCACTTTGCGACACTTTTGTGCGCTTTCTTTCTCTCTCTCTTTATAATATGGGAATATATATATATATTATATATTTTCCTTTTTTTTCCCCCACTCTTGTTGTTGCCGTCCAACGTTTTTCTGCTTACTCTGGGAAGAAAGAAATTTTTTTATCGTACTGTTTGCCTTTTTTCTCTTGCATGGACGGTGGGTGGATGGATTTTTGGAGGAGCGGGCGGTGGGTGGTGCCCTCTTTAGAGCCGCCCGCAAGGATTTTCTTTAAAAAAAAAAAGGCAAACGCGGACCCACACAAGGGTTATTGCCACTGCTGTGCGCGTAGATATTTTGTATGCGTGTCAGAGCTTGTAATTCCGTCAAAGGATTGTTTCCATCGTCAGTTTTTTCCGGGTCTCTGTTATTTTGTGCGGCCGTTCTTTTTTTTTTTCTTTGCTTTGTCGTGCATTGTGTCGGGCGCGATCAGGCCTCTCTGCTGCGTTGTAATAGGCGGGTCTTTTCCCCCCCCTTTTTTTTTTCCTGTCCTTGTCTTTCAATGCGGTGCACCGACACCTGGTTGATGAGGCGGGGCGTGAAGTGTGTGTGGCATCTTTGTGCGAGGGGGGTGGAGGCCCGCGATTTGTCGAACGGGAGACGGGAGGGCGTGGGGGACGAAGAAAAGGGGGGAAAACGTTCTCGCCATGGTCCGGGGTAGGAGCAATACCCCTGGTAAGAAGCCGGAGAGTGGCCGAGGTGCAGGTACTCGCATTGCTTTGGACAAAGCTCTTTTCTCTGTGGTCTCGGCTGCTGGTTGTGACGCCATTCACTCACCGGATGATGCAGCGGCTCTGCTCTGTAGACTTGTCCCGTCCACACCGCAGAAAGAGGGCGGAAATGGCGCAGCAAAAAACGTTGCGCTTGATGTGGAGGTGCTCATCTTGGACGCGGTGGAGATTGTATTGGCGGCATACAACGAATTCACTGCCTCTTCCACCAAGGAAGGAGAAGCGGCGTCCAAATCTCTTTTGATGCGTGCATCTTTGACGAATCTTCGCAGCCTTGCGACGCTTCTTTCACATCGGCCACCGTTTTCTCCTCCGGTGTTGGCTGCGCTTTTTCAGCTCACGATCCTGGTGGTGAAGCACGCCCCACTTCAGGCGCTTGATGAAGAGGGGTGCCGTATGCTTTTGTGTCTTCTGGAGCTTCTTGGATGCCTGCCACGAGGCGTTGAGACCGCTGGAACGCCAAGCATTCAGCGTGTTGCCCGTATTACGGCACGAAATGTCATGCGCCGTGTGGGCCCTCGTCTCTGTCCGTCAGCCTTTCCCGCGTCAGTGGAGGCGAGCGGAAAGGTCGCAAAGAGTACCGTTTTGCGAGAAATATTGGAGCGTGACATTATTCCCTGGGTGGAGAGACATCTTTTGCCGCTTCATGCTGTCACAGGAGCCGCAGCGCAGGCAGACCTGAAAGAGGACCGCCGTCTCGCACTTTCGCTACTCGACTTTATGCTGCTTGGCGACGGTGATGCATGCAGTCCTATGAGCAGCCAACGGATTTCAATGTATTACCTTGCCGATACTGTCGCCTCACTTCTCGAAGAGGAAGATGAGGGAGGCATCGACGGTCCTGACAGAGAGGTGGCACTTGCATTTCTGCATCGGGTTGGCCGTACGCTTTCAAACCCGGCTACGGCCTCATTGGTGTCCACGTCACGTGAGGGTGGAACGCATGAGGGATGTGTTCAATCACCACCGCTCCGGGTGCGAGACGTTAGAGAATTTTTGAGCGCGAAGGACGCGGCGTACGTTGCGGAATTTACCCAATTGTATGAACGCATTGAAGAGGAGCAGGAGAACCAGGCTATCCTCCAGTGGCAACTCGGGGAACTGACAAAGGAGCATGAGAGAGTACAAATGGAGATACAGGAGGGCATTCTTCATTCATTTAATGCGGATGAAGGGAATACATCAGTTTGTACGTTAATGAAGGGCGATTCCACGCATAACACAACCTCGGCAGCGGCTTCTTCGTCTTTGGGAGAACGGGCGCGAAATATCCTGAGTTTTCTTCGACCGGTGGAGGACACTACTATAGCTCTACATGAGGAGCAAAAACGACGCCGGGGCCTTTTTTAATTCTACAAAAATAGAGGAGGCTTCGTACAGAAAATGGAATAAACAAACGTACGCACAGACACAGAGACAGAGAGTGAGAGAGAGTGAGAGTGTAAGAGACGAAGGAAGAGGAACAAACATGGAGACAGATGAATTTGGGGTGATATGACCATTGCTAGGATATTCTGTATGCTTATGCATTACATATGTAGTGGGCCTGCCTTGTGAGTGCTATCCTTACCGTCTAAATTGGAAGACACATTTATGCCTTTTCTTCTTAACTTCTTTTATTTTGTCTTTCCCTCTTATAAGGCTACCTCTTTGGGTAAATTAGATCATTTGAGCACTCTCTACTTCAAACTAGAAAGAGAAAGCGGCAGGAAACATATAAAGAAAGGGAATAACCAAGCAAGAAGGAGAAAAAACACCAAGAAGAAAAAATATTGTCTTTCATTATGTCTCAACAGATGCAATACTACGCTCCTCAACAACAGTTGCAGCAAGCGCCGGCGCAGATGAACCCCGAGCCCGATCTGTTGCGCAACCTCATGGTGAACTACATTCCGACGACAGTGGATGAGGTGCAACTTCGTCAACTGTTTGAACGCTATGGACCCATTGAGTCGGTTAAAATTGTTGCTGACCGCGAGACACGCCAGAGCCGTGGCTATGGATTTGTGAAGTTTCAGAGCGGTTCGAGTGCCCAACAGGCCATTGCAGGACTGAATGGATTCAATATCCTCAACAAGCGGTTGAAGGTAGCGCTGGCGGCCAGTGGTCACCAGCGAAACCGTAACGGCGTAAGCACTGGGTTCGGAGCCTACAGTGGGTATGGCGGTTACGGTGGCTACGGCGCATACCCTTCCGCTGCGAACCCGTACGCGCAGCAGCAGATGATGACGATGCAGCATCCGTATATGATGACACAGTCTGTGCCGTCGGTGCCGCGTCAGTAGGTTCTCTCTGCTCTTTGGTGTGTGTGTCTGTTTGTGTGAGAGGGGGGATATATAGTATGATGGCTTTTTTTACTTCTCTCTCTCTTTTTTTTTTTTTTTTTCTTCTTCTTCTTATTTATTTATGTGTGTCGTGTTGTTTTCCACTTTTTTTTGTTTGTTTGTTTTTGTGAGCACTCAGGCAACAAATGTATAGAGAAGGGGCGAAGGCAGCGTGGCAACAAAGCCGGTGGACCCCGTTCCTCCTCCCCCTTCCATCTCGCAATGAAATGAATGACAACTGGGAGGAAAAAAAAAAGAAAAAAAAGAGAGAAAAAAAAAAAAAGAAATGGTGAACAGAAAAGGGGAGACGAGGGGGTGGGAAAAAAAAAAAAAAAATAAGGGAATAGAAACGAAAAGAATAAAAAAAGAGGAAGACCTCCTTTTTTCTCCTTTTTTTCTCCTTTTTTTTTTTTTTTTTTTTCTTCTCGAAGAGAGGGAGAGGGAGGGAGGCACACCGAAAAGAAAACGAAAAAGAAAAGAAAAAAAAAGAAAACGGGAGAGAAAAAGAAAGTGAGCACCCAAATAATAATAATAAATAATAAATAAATAAAAGTAAAAAAAAAAGAAAAGGAGGGAGGGAGGTGGAAAGTGAAAATAGAAGAAAAAAAAGAAAAACAAGAAACAAAGAAAACAACAACGGAAGGAGAGAAAAAAAAAAAAAAAAGGAGGAGGCGTTTAGGCTACACGGGAGGATTCTCTGCGGGGAGAGAAGGATGGTGTGATGAGGATGAGGAGGTTTTTTACCGCAGGCCATTGCAAATGGCCTCAAGTTTGGCAGTGGCCAGCGAAACCGTAACGGCGTAAGCACTGGGTTTGGAGCCTACGGTGGGTATGGCGGTTACGGTGGTACGGCGCATACCCTTCCGCTGCGAACCCGTACGCGCAGCAGCAGATGATGACGATGCAGCATCCGTATATGATGACACAGTCTGTGCCGTCGGTGCCGCGTCAGTAGGTTCTCTCTGCTCTTTGGTGTGTGTATGTCTGTTTGTGTGAGAGGGGATATATAGTATGATGGCTTTTTTTACTTACCTCTCTCTCTTTTTTTTTTTTTTTTTTTCTTATTTATTTATGTGTGTCGTTTTTTTTTTTTTTTTCACTTTTTTTTTGTTTGTTTTTGTGAGCACTCAGGCAACAAATGTATAGAGAAGGGGCCAAGGCAGCGTGGCAACAAAGCTGGTGGACCCCGTTCCTCCTCCCCCTTCCATCTCGCAATGAAATGAATGACGACTGGGAAGAAAAAAAAAAAGAAAAGAAATGGTGAACAGCAAAGGGGAGACGAGGGGGTGGGGGTAAAAAATAAGGGAATAGAAACGAAAAGAATAAAAAAAGAGGAAGACCTCCTTTTTTTTTTTCCTTTTTTTTTCTTCTCGGAGAGAGGGGGAGGGAGGGAGGCACACCGAGAAGAAAAAGAAAAAAAAAAGAAAACGGGAGAGGAAAAGAAAATGAGCACCCAAATAATAATAATAATAAATAATAAATAAATAAATAAAAGTAAAAAAAAAAAAAAAATGGAAGGAAGGGAGGTGGGAAGTGAAAATAGAAGGAAAAAAAGGGAAACAAAAAACAAAGAAAACAACAACGGAAGGAGAAGAAAAAAAAGGAGGAGGCGTTTAGGCTACACGGGAGGATTCTCTGCGGGGAGAGAAGGATGGCGTGATGAGGATGAGGAGGTTTTTTACTTCTCACTCTCTCTTTTTTTTTTTTTTTTCTTCTTTTTTTTTACTATATATTTATATCTTTGTTGGAGATAATGTTGTGGGAAGAGGCGGAGTGATGGGCAGCCAGAAGGGAGGGCGCAAACTGTACCTGCGGCGAGTGGAGCGGCATTTTATGAGGCGTTGACAAATTTTTTTTTTTCCCTTGCTTCTCTTCGTTATGAATATAATTATATGGTTTTTTTTTGTTTTTTCTTGGTTTTCTCCGCCTCCCACACCCCCCACTGTGCCTTTCCCGCACAATTATTGCCCAGCGCACGATGATGCCTAGGCCTACCACCGCCACTACTACTACTACTACTACTATACTGTTTACACCACCAGCAATTTTTTAAGTGGCCCATCCGTCATTTACGACATATCGATTTCTTTTTTTTTTTTTTTTTTCTTGTCTGTTTTGGTTGTTGCTACTCGTTACGTTGTCTGATTGTGTGCATTTGTGCGTTTTCTCACTCATTGCGCCCACCGGCGAGGTATCGGACACGTCAAAAAGAAGGGAAAAAAAAAGTTTTATTGTTACTATTATTACTATTATTATTATTATTATTATTCTCCTGTTTATGCAGGAATGAGGCAATGGTATATATATATTTATATATACATGTAGTCACGGGCGAGATGCAGGAAAGGGGGCCATTCAAACTGGCGGAGTAGCAAATACGAATAGACTCTTCCATAATTCCTGCCCCTCTGAGAACATGCGGCAGAGAAGATCAACGTTGAAATCATTAATGAAGAAGACTTGAAGGAATAAAAAGAGAGAAGGCGAGAGCGAATGTACCTCGCGTGGAGCGGCATTTTATGAGGCGTTGACAAATTTTTTTTTTTTCTTGGTTCTCTTCGTTATGAATATAATTATATGTTTTATTTTATTTTATTTTATTGGCTTTCTCCGCCTCCCACACCCCCCACTGTGCCTTTCCCGCACAATTATTGCCCAGCGCACGCCTGGGCCTACCCCGCCGCCCCACTACTACTACTACTACTACTATACTGTTTATTTTTACGATTTTTTTTTTTTTTTGAGGGGTTTCACTGGCGGTAACAAATACGAATAACTCTTCCTCTCCTGCCCCTCCATGCGGCAAAATAAAGTTGAAACCCTTAATGAAGAAAACTTGAAGGAAGAAAAAGAGAGAAGCAAAAAAAAAAAAAAAAAAAAAAAAAAAAAAGAAAAAGAGAGGGTGAGAAGTGGAAGTAGAAAACAAAATATATTTTTAAGAATGAAAGAGTAGTCAAAAACTAACTAAATAAATAAATAAATACATAACAAGAAAAGAAAAGAAAAGAAAAGAAAAGAAGAAAAAAAAAAAAAAACACGGTAAAAGGAAGGAATTATTTTGTGTTTCATTTTTTCCGTTACATATTTTCCCCTATCCTTTCTTTGCTTTTGTTTTGTCGGTTTATTTGTGTCTATTTTATGGCGGCCCACTGGCCGTGGTATGCTTTCTGGCTCTGTACTGTTTCTCTGCGGAATGGTGAGAGAGAGGCGAGCAAGGCTCCACTGAGTGAGTGGCGCGAAGGTCAAAGATGCCATGAGGAAAGGGAAACGAGCATTGGGGGGTCGATGGATAGATTTTGTAAAGAGAAACGAGAATTAAGATGGATAAAAATGTACCGAAAAAAAAAAAAAAAAAAAAACAAGGCAAAAAAAAAAAAAAAACAACAAGAACCAAAAAAAAAGCAAAAAAAAAAAAAGAGGGGAGGAGGGGGGGAAGACAGTGGGGTGAGTTGATGAAAGGAGTCAGAAGAAGGACATATTTATATATGCATGCATACACACGTGCGACATGGCCTGTGTGTGAGTATGTGTGATTAATGAGATTCAAAATCTACCGCATGTTTTGGGTGTTTATTTTTATATCATCCTTTTTTTTTTTTGTCCTGTTCCTCATTTTATTTTATTTCATTTTCTTCCCACTGCTTTTGAGAAAGTGAGACCATCACTTCTCCCTCCGTGTCTTGTTTTATGCGTACGCATGCCACTTTTTTGCCAACGAGGAATTCCCATGCACACGCCATAAACAGATAATCTTGTGCGAGCACACATACACATGCACACCCACACCCACACATGGAGGAGCAACGAGGAAATCAAGAAAAACATGGATTGTTTGTAAAGGAAGAGGAGGGGGAAAATCAAAAAGGACAGAAAAAGAAGCACGAAAAACGACATGGAAGGCAATCATATTGCCCTGTCAAGTGCGTACCCACACCACATCCACAGACGCGGGCAGACGGGCACTTTATATCGATGATGGCTGAGACAAATGGAAAGCAAAATGGAAATGGAAGGAGCGGGGGAGGGGAATTACATTTGGTCCTGAATAAGATATTAGTGCCGGACGCGCTAGGGGGGCTGTCCATTGTTTTGGCTTTCTTTTTTTTTTTTTTTTTTTTTCAATTTTTTAAATGCCCACCAAGTTTATCCATTGTCTTGTTTCCCACATGCTGCTGTTTCCTCGCAAGAGTATTATTTAACGTTGTTTTTGTTGTTTTTGTTTTCTGGTGTGTTTTATTTGTGTGTGTCTCTGTGTGTGTGTTTTGGTGTTTTTCTATTATTATTATTATTATTATTATTATCATTATTGTTTTTTTTTTTTTTTTTTCTTCTTCTTTCATTATCTTTTGTTTTTCTTTTTGTTGTTGCTTTTGCTGTTTTTTTTTTTTTTTTCCTTGTATTGTGTTGTACGTGTACTTGCCTCACATCTGTTTTCTTACCTTTTCTTCCCCCCACTTTTTTTTTTTTTTTTTTTTTTCACCCCCAATCAAATGCATATGCACATGTATACAAGAGTTTAGGTTGGTTTTTTTTTTTTTTTTTTTATTTGTTTGTGTTTTTTTTTTGTTTGAATTGTGGGAAATGAGCCAAATTCCGTTGGTTTCACAGTACGATCCGTACGGCCAGACTGCCCAACTACAGCAGCTGCAGCAGCAGCAACAACAACATATTCCGCCGGCGCAGATGAACCCCGAGCCCGATGTGCTGCGCAACCTCATGGTGAACTACATTCCGACGACAGTGGATGAGGTGCAACTGCGTCAACTGTTTGAACGCTATGGACCCATTGAGTCGGTTAAAATTGTTTGTGACCGCGAGACACGCCAGAGCCGTGGCTATGGATTTGTGAAGTTTCAGAGCGGTTCGAGTGCCCAACAGGCCATTGCAGGACTGAATGGATTCAATATCCTCAACAAGCGGTTGAAGGTAGCGCTGGCGGCCAGTGGTCACCAGCGCCCGGGGATTGCCGGAGCAGTCGGAGACGGCAACGGATATCTTGGCGCGTACGGTGGCTACGGCGCATACCCTTCCGCTGCGAACCCGTACGCGCAGCAGCAGATGATGGCAATGTATCAGCAGTACATGATGCAAGCACCGCAGCAGACGCCCCATCAAGGCCAACAACAACAGATGCCGCTGCCTTCCCACCCGCAGCAACAGTCACCCCCGCAGCAGCAACAGCAGTCTCCGTCCTCCCCGCAGCAACAGCCGCAGTCGCAGCAGCAAAGTCAAGCTGCCCGTCCTGTTCGAAGGTAAGACGGCTTGTGGAACGCGAATGCTGACGGAGAGAGTACGGACGCCGGTACGCGTTGTGATGGACATGCGACTCGCGTTTGCAACGTTCTTTTTCTTCGCACTGGGGGGAGTCGAGAGGCCGCAGTGACTTATAAAATTGATTGAGAAGAAAAAAAAAAAAAAAAAAGGAAAACGAAGAGAGGGCAATGAAGGGATCGGCACAAGAAAAACGAAAGCAGGGGAATATTAAGTAAAAAGGAAAAGACAAGTAAAGAAAAGGGATTAAAAATGGAGGAAAAATGGTCCGTTAGGTCCGTCAAGTTAGAACAACAACAAAAACAGAAAGACAAGAAAAAGAAAGAAAACGGACTAAAAAAAAAAAAAAAAACGAAGAATGACGAAAAGAAACAGTGAAGAAATAATTTTGAAAATTATGAGGAGAGCTGAAGCTCCTTTTTGTGGGTCGTTATATGCACGAATCTCTTGTAATATAAGCACAGGAGGAAAATGAAGGATGCCCAAATATAAGAGAGGAAAAGAAACAAGAAAGAGAAATAAGGCTCTGCGATGAAAGGATAGCGGAAGAAGTTAGGAAGGCTGCATTTGTCTCAGAGAACACCACCCGTATGCACTGCTTCTGATACATCTTATAGTTTGCCCATAGGTTACGGAGGGAACCCCGATAGATGTGTATGAGCGTGAAACCAAATGGAAATACATCTCACCCAATCATTGAAGGCGTTGTGGGGAATACCAGCTGTTCTGGGGAGCGGAAGAGTTTTTTTTTTTTTTTTCTTTGCTCTTCAACTGTGTGTGTGTGTCTTGCATTCTCTCCAAATAAGTTGAGGTGCGACAAAGAGATGTTGGTTTTATGTCTTTTTTTTTTTTCGTTTTTTGTATCACGCTGTTGGCAGAGGCAATAATGATGTTGAAAGAATTAAGAGAGGGCAAATTTCATTAATGGTGAAGATTACTGTTGTTGGGTGGGTGGGGGTGGTGTATTTGTTTTCTCTGTTCCCCTTATTTTGTGGGAGTGTGTGTGTGTGCTGAGTGGGCGAAGCTTTGGGGAGGAAAAGTACGAGGGACAGCGTGGGGGTCGGGGCTGCGGGTATGGCGGCTGACGCTTGTGCCACTGTAAAAAAAAAAAAAAGATAAAAAAGAAAAAAAAACCCTTTTTGGTGGGTGTTCTTTGAATCTCTGTTTCACATCCATTTGTTTGTGGACTTCCTTGTGCCTTCCCTCCGATTTTGGTGCGTTTTTCAACAATCAGCAGGGTAGCAGACAAAATTGAAAGGGATGCATTGAGGATCTTTTTTTTTTTTTTCTTACGCTGTGTTTTGAGCTTACATTACCGTTTTTGTGTTCTATTTTGATTTTTTTTTTTTGTATTTTGTATTTTCTCCTTTTTTTTTTCTTTTTGGTGTGCGTGCTTCTACCTTTGGCTCTGCGTTGGGATTGCTTTTTCTTTTTTTTTTTTTTTTTTTTCTTTTTTTTCTGTTTGTTTCTGTTCGTCTCTGTTGACATGAGGTTTGAGAAATATCCTCACCGTGAACAATTTGATTGGCACCCATCCATTTATTTATTTATTTATTTTGGAGGGAAAATAAAAGTTGACGAGGTGTGGTGGCGGGTTTTTAAACCAAACAGTGGGCATATATGGAGGTATGCGGCCGTAGATGGGCATCTCCGCGTGGGTCACACTATTTATTTGTGTCTGTGGGCGATTTGTATGTGCCTGTTGCTTGCGATTGATGGTAATTCCCCTTTATTATTTCACTTTTGATCTCGTGTTAGTGACCTGATGCCGTCATTGCAGTCTTTTTATTTTTATTTTTTCTCGGGCTTGTTCCTTTCTCACGGTTAGTGGTGCTGATTTTTGCATCCCCTTTCCTTCCCGCCCAGTGCTGCACCTGTTTCGTCGCTTTCCGCCCATGGACCATTATTTATGGCGACGGGGTCGCTATGTTTTTTCTTTTCTTTTTTTCCCATGGAGAGTGAGGGGGTGGGCGAACAGGCGGGAAAAGGCTGAGGAGCGGGTGGGGGCGGAGTCGGGCCATTGGCTGCGGAACGGCACACACGTGCCTTTTTTTGTGTTTTTTTTTTTTTTCGTTTGTTTGATTGATCCTTCCACATGTCGACTGTCACGAATTCCCCTCCCGTGAGCTCCACGAAACAAGACGACGGTGAAGTGTGGAGGAGGATGAGGAGGGCATTCGAAGAGAGTAAAAAAGAAATAAAAAATAAAAAAGGAGGGAGAGCGGCGGGGTTCAGTCAAAGGAATGGGAAGAAGTGAGGCTCGTGTTGACCACATTATTCTGCAATGAAGTGAGAAGACAGAGAATGATGGGTGGGTGAGGGAGTGAAATATCCACGTGGCGGGGAACCGAGAGACACCGGCGCAACGAGTGTTCAATAATACGAGAGGGCGGGGTTATTAACAAACGAAGGAAAAGCCAGAGGACAGACAGGCAGACATATGCGCCGAGTTAATTTCCTGCGACGAATTGCAGACAAACAGCGAAGTTGATGCATGCTTACAAGCACATTACATAATCAACTGCCAACAGCCGCATAGAAAAGTGGAACGCACGCTCTACTACAAAATAAGTAAAAAAGAAAGGAGAGAGAGAGAGAGAGAGAGAGCAATGGAGTGAGAAGGAGAGGGCGCAACGGCGAGTGAAGGAAGAAAAAGGGGAGACGCAAAACAACAATAACAAAAAAAAAAAAAGGGGTGGGGGACGGAGACAAATGCCTGATGAAAAGAAGAACATTATCCCCTGAAAGTAAAAGAAGCAAATAAATAACTTGTAATTGAAGGGGCTGTCTCTACTTGTTTACTCTTGAAATTTGTGTTCGCGCGACGTCGTGAAGGCTTGGACGTGGGAGACGACTGCGTGGGACGTAGTGGTGAGCAAACCGGATGCACGCAACGACATTTAAAAAAAGAAAAATGCTGGTTAGAAAAACATGTTATCTTTTTTCTCCTGAGGGTCCCTTTGCCTGCGCATGTTGCTGCTGAGTAGGAGCAGTAGTGAAAAAAAATCAAAAATAAAAATAAATAAATAAATAAAGGGCTGCTCGCGCGCCCATACACGCACACCCGCACGCGCATTTACGCTCACGTGCATGCGGAAGAGGAAGAGAGAAAAGAGAAATGGGGGTGATGTGTCTGGGGACGATGCGCAGCCATTGACGAAGCAAATGAGATTGGATGAACAACTGCCCTTTGTAATGCGAAGGGGCGTTGTGATCCTTGTTTTTTTGCACCATGTGGTGGATTGCACCAGACCCAAATTACCCTCAGATCATTATGTTATGGTAGAAGCTTAGTCGTACTTTAACCCCATGATAGATGAGGCTTCACTGGGTGCTTGAAAAGCGAAAAAAAAAAAAAATCTGAAAAGTAAATGGGATTGCTGAACCATTAATATGTCTTCTTTTCTTTTTTTTTTTTCAGTTGTTTCTGTTTCTCTTGGTAAATTCTTTTAGACTTGCTGTCTTATTTCTGGTAGACGCCGCTACAGGGGATAGAAAAAAAAAAAAGGATATGTTGTAGTAATTATATATATATATTTATATATATATATAAAGCACCAGGTGCCGCAATGATATTCTTATGACGTTCTAATCATTGTGTCATGCAGTCGACCTTGACGGTGGAGACACCGCTCTTTTACTGTTTTCCGTCTGGTGGACGCCGGCAACTGAAAACGGCATGGCGCGACACGGAAAGAAGATATCGTCATAGTTTTGAAGCGGCGTGACGGAGGAAGAGAGCAGAAGAAAAAAAAAAAAAAGAGGCGGAGGAACTCATGCCTCAATGTGAGAATTGGGACAAATATTCTTTGGATTTTATTGACTTCTCCGTGGAGTTATCCGGGCGATAATTACAATTCATATGGGAGGCGGTGGGGTTCAGTCGCCAGACGAGATTGAACCACACGGTGATGTTTTTTTTTTTTTTTTTGGAGGAGGGCTCGTTGAAAGAGGAATCATTTTGCGGAAGGCGACAGGGGCAGCAGTGAATGAGAAGAGACGGCTTACTACGCATCAACTCCTTCGTCTCTTGTCTGAGAGAAGTGAAGCAACTTGACGCATCGCTTTTTTTTTCTTTTGGATGTGGCGTCTTTCACGGCCCGATGGAACCGCCAGAAACGTTGCGCGGGATTTATCTTTTTTGTGTGTGAGCCCGTGTGTCTGTATCTCATGCATGCGTATTCCTTTCAACGTCCTTCCATTTTAACAGCCCATTTATTTTTGTTTTAACATCTTTGTTTCGTGTATTTTGTTTTCATCTCTTTTTGTTGGACTTTAGAGGAGTGTAAGTGTTTTTTTTTATTTTTTTATTATTTAGTTTTGTATCTTTTTATCGTTGCGTTTTTTGGTTTTCGCTTTTTTGTGCACATCTCTCCGTGGCAGGAGGTGGTGGGGCTGACGATGCGTAATGGTGGGCGGGCGGGTTCGGTGACGTACATCTCGTCATCCAGCGACGATGATGACAGTAATAACCGAGAATGCCACGACAACGTCGTGTGCGGAGGCGAGTCACAGGAAACACGGCACTCAACGTCTCGAAGAGATGAAGTAGGAGCTGGAGAGCCTCCCCAATCAACAAACAAGCCACGGACGAGTGTGATCTCTGGGGACACGAAAAATACATCTTCTTCCTTGGCAAGTAAAGAGTCGGTCACAGTGCAATTGCAAACGCCCTTCATGCGTACTGAATGGGGCCCTGGAACGCAGGTTCTTTTTCTGCCGGGTCCAGTACTCCCTTCAGAGGCTGCATCAGCCACGGCGTGGGAATTGGGGAGGGTTGTTGAATTCTCGCCGACTGCCACCACCGGTAAGAGGGCCGGTGAGAAGACCAAAGAAATCAGCGATGGCGTTGTTATTGTAGAACGGGTTGGCCGAGGGGGAGCTTTGGATGGGAGTCGTATCCAGGTTAATTTGAAATGCATGCGACGTTACAGTTATGAAGGCTCACCATTAGACCTCAATGATTTTTCTACATTAACTGAGCCGAGCGATGCTGTTTTGTTGTATGCTTTGCAACAACGATATTTTGGTGGGCTACACTACACTTTTACCGGCCGGGTCTTGTTGGCATTAAATCCGTACCAGCGCACGGTTTATCCTCCTCATGCCCCCCATCCAAAGGACATAGTGGAGTCAGTTAAAGAAGCCCTTTGTGCGGTGAAAAGCTGCTCAACGAAGGGAGAAAGTGAGGGTAATGAATTTGGTTTAGAATCAGATGTGGATGCCGTGGAGCCCCCGTGTCCAGTGGCTCTTGTCGTGACAGGCGACAGCGGGGCGGGTAAGACGGAAACCGCGAAATTTGTTCTTCACCATCTTCTTGGTCAGATGGCGTTTGACAAGGAAAGTGATTTTTCTTCTTCTTATGAAGTTACTGCGTCGCAGCGGACCATATGTGGACGCATGTTGCATGTTCTTGACGCAGCGAATTGTCTTCTTGAGTCTTTTGGGAACGCTTTGACGCCTCTTAATGACAACTCTTCCCGGTTTGCGAAATGTGTCACGACTTATTTAAACCCGCGCACTGGAGAAGGAGTTGGTGCCAAAGTTGAGTGCTATCTATTGGAGGTGTCACGCTTATTGGCTCGTGTACCGGGTGAGTCGACTTTTCACATTTTCAGCATGCTGTTTGACGGAAGGTACGGCTTAACACCCGAGGAGCGAAATAGCTTTGACACGTGGGACCCGATTCTCTTCCGTGCTATGCATTCTGGCTCGAACGAACTTTGTCTCAGCTTTCCACCGTACACACTCTTTCAGTTTCGTGTGGCACTGAGGTCGGTTGGATTTAGCGATGATAAGGTGGCGATGGTTTTGCAGGTTCTGTGTGGCATTCTCTATCTCCTGAATATCGAATTTACAGCTCGTGATATGTTTGCCCCCGCTTCTGTCTCTCCCGCGTCGATGTCTGCATTGGAAAAGGCGTCAAATCTACTGGGATTTTCTTTTACAGAGGACCACCGCTCTTTGGAGACGCTTTTAACGACGGTACGGCTTGGAACCGATCTCCGGGAGTTGCACTGTGGGGCGGCTGAGGTGGCTCGAGACTCCACCGCGAAATATCTTTACGAGTCGCTTTTTCAGTACATCTTGCGCCACATAAATGAAGCGCTTCTTCCATCAAACACTGCAATGGAAACTGTTTGCGCTGAGTTTACAATTCTGGACATTTTTGGATTTGAATTCAAGGATGAGAAGTGTGGCAACAACGATCTGGAGCAGTTATTGATCAACTACACGAACGAGACTTTGCAGCGTTTGTACGAGGAGACCACATTTGATAGTTTGCTCGCTGAGGCAGCGCAAGAGGGTGTTGATATTGATTGGCCATCCGAATGGAATCAGGAGCGTGTTCCCACGCTTGAACTCCTGGTACAACGTCCTCGAGGAGTGTTGAACATCATTAACGACGACAGTGTTCTCGCTCAGCGGTCCCGTCAGGAAGGTGGTGCCAACTTAGCCGCATTATTGACTTCACTACAAAAGTCTTTTCCTGGTTTGATACGGCCACACCGATCAAGTCCCTCCAAAGTATCTCTCCAACACTTCTGTGCCACTGTGGTTTATGACACCAGCAATATGTCATCAAAGAATCGAATCTCCACAGCGGCGGAGTCAACGTGCGCTGCAAGCAGTAATGAATTTGTTCAAGAGATTTGTGGTGCCTTTTTGGCGAGTTCCACAGCAGAGGGTTACATGCCTCTTGTGGGTAATAACACGAAGGGAGCAACTCCAAGATCACACGCCACCACCATTATTGCACAGTTTCGCTCTCAGATAGAATTACTTATGACGAGGCTAAAGGCCTCCAATATCTTCTGGATTAGATGCATTAAACCAAATAGAAATAAAAGTCCGCATGAATTTGACTCAGAACTTGTCTTTTCGCAATTAAAGTACGGTGCTATTTTGCGTTCTGTCATGCTGTTTGGGCAGGGGTACTGTCACAGCCTAAAATATAAATTGCTTGTGAAAAAATATCTTTTCCTTGCAGTGCGAGGCTATTGCTGTGATGCCTTTCAGCACGGTATCTTCAGGAAACACCTTGATTTCTCTGGTTCACGAGGTGAAGAAGGAAAACCACCTTTACGCCGTCCCTATTCCGATAAACAAACACGACTAAAACATGGTACGGCTTTTAATGCTGCCGTCTACAGTGCACGGTTTCGAGAGGCTTGTGTGTTAGCGACGGAGTTTGTCCCGTGCTGTATGGATGGTGCGTTGTTGCTTGGAAGCAGCAAAGTGTTTCTACGCTCGAGCACACTCCGGGCGCTGTTGGCACTGGGCAAATTGGCAAAGGAGGAGGCATCCCAATGGATAGGAAGAGTTGGGCGTGGCTTTATGGAGCGAAGATCTTTGGCGGTTGCACGGCTTCAATACATGAATGAGAAACGTCTGGCCGGCATCAGAGAGCGCATAGCAGCAGAATTGCCACAACGTGAGGCTCTGGAGCGAGAACGAGAGGCGTTGCTGGCGCGGGCTTCTGAGGGGCGTGCGGAGCATTTGGCTTTCTTGTCACGCCAGGCGATGAGGTCTTCGAAGCGTGTTGAGCGAAGTTGGAAGGAGACGATGAATTTGCTGACTTCAGAGCTTACCAAGGCAATTGGGGAGATGACTGCGTTTGACAAGGCACGAATGGAGAAGGAGAAGGAGGTCCGGGAGGAGGCAGCGATGCGGGAATCCTGCAGGAGACGAATAAAGTACAATATGAGTCGTGAGAAGTTGAGGCGCGAGGTCAAACATCACCATCTGATTGAAACACAGCGTGAAAAGACACGAAAAGATGAGGTGACCCGCCGCAGCCGAGCGGATATCGACGCAGAGCGTGAGAAGGTTATACGCGAGGAGATCGTCAAGGCCCGTCAGCTGCAGCTGAGAGTGGAACAAGAGGTGCTGGTGGAACAGCGCAGGCGGGCGCTTTTGTCAAGGGAGCGGCAGGAAGCCAGGCAAGTACGGCTTCATTTGGGCAAGCAGCAAAGACGTATAGCCGATCGAGTACGTTTGAAGGAAGAAGTTAGGCAGCGGCGTCAGGCCTCGCAACTTTATTTGCCGTCACGATCTTTTCCTTCTCCGGAAATTTCAAGTTTGGGCTTTGGGGGTGTGGAGAAGACTGCAACGGATGTGACCGTTGAAGACTTTGCAGCGCTTGGGCTGGTGAAGACCCCTCTATCAGGAGGAACTCGAAGAAAATTGTATGCTTCACAGTCTCTTCCCACTCAACGAGAGTTGAATTCAAGCACCACTGTGGACGATCGCGACCCGGAATTGGAATGGATTGTTCAGAAAGACATGATGACACTCTGGGAGTCCCTGCAAGACGGGTTGAACACCTGAGCTTCTTACTCACTCTCTCAGAATTTCTCTTTCTTTATGTTTCTATGTGTGGCTGGACCTGTCGAGTGACAAAGGGGGACATTGCCGACCCCCTATATATATATATATATATATATATATATATATATATATATATATATATATATATATATATATATATGACACATCCTTTTAGTTTTATTGATTTTTTTCTTCTTTGCGTGATGTGTTTCCTTGAGGAAAGCAGCATATGGCATTTCGCAACTCTGCAATACTGCCTTTTTTTGTTTTTGTTTTTGATTTCTCTTCTCTGCTCATGGGATTACACAGTCCTTCACAAAGAAAGTGCATATAGAACAGAGCGGGAGGGAGGCGGATTGGCGCTGCAGTCGGAGGGACGCCATCGACACGGTCCCATGGTGTTTTAGTCATCGCATTATTATTGTTTTTTCATTTGTAGAGTGGGGGGTGTCTTACGACCTTTACTTTCCGCAGCGTGCCTTGTTGCATTAACGAGCAACACCGTTAACGAGGCAAAAAGAAAAACAGAAGGTTTTCCAAAACCAAGGGAAAGGGAGAAAAAATATAAAAGAGAGCGAGTTACGGTAATTTAACAAATGCTGCGTGATTTCCATGCAGTTATCTTGTTCAGTCTCCTTGTGTGGTTGGCGGGTGACGTAGGTGTCGTGTATGGATCCACGAAATGTGATCCTGTGGAGGGGTATTATTTGCCAAATGGTGAGGACTATCGTGGGCATTTAAACTTTACGGAGATGGGGATTCCATGCCAGAAATGGAATGAACAGCAACCCCATCGTCATGACACGCATATACCAGACCCCTTGACGGGTGTGGGAAATCATAACTACTGTCGAAATCCAAGTGGGCTTGAACGCCCCGGCTGTTTTACGATGAATCCTTCCATACGGTATCAATTCTGTGACGTGGGGCTCCCTTGTAGGTGGACACCACCAGAGACAGTTCTGCAGTTTGAGCCCTCATCTGGCACGGAACTGCGGGCTGATCAACCTGTTAAAATCACCTGTTACCCACGTCCATGTGAAATCTACTACACATTAGACGGTTCCACACCCACAACATCATCAGGCATTTTATACTTACGACCCATAGTGTTGAGTAGAAACTCAACTGTGAATGCCTTAGCTCTTTTTGCTTCAGAAAAAGCTTTGCAGCGTCAGGCATTTTACTCAATACCTCCACGTCCAACCCCAAGCGGCGCTTACTTTAGTCCTTTACCAAGCGAAGTGTCCCAGGGCCCTGTGTTGCTTTTCCTTAAAGGGTTAAGGGATAATGATAAAGCTCTTATATTCAAAAATGAGGACCTTCGCGGGTTTCCCTACGAGGGTCCGTTTTGGCTAAACGAGAGCACAAATGTGACAGCTGTCATAAATGGAGAGGACCTTGTTCGTGCAAGCTATGTTTTTTTTACAACGGGAGTAATTTTAGAGATGTATCCTGCTTCAGGAAAATACATTGGAGGTGTTTCGTGTCTTGTTTATCAATCGGATCCTCAGGCAAATAACACAATTTCAATAAATGGTTTAAGTTGGCAGCCCCTTAGTGAATTTGTTTTCATTTTAGATACTGTTGGTATCAATGTGGTGGGAGTAAGATCCATATCGTTGGGTGGCGTAATGAATGCTGTTTGGAGGAAATATGAGATTGCTGAGGCTATTCCCCCTGTGCTATTACCGGCACCTGATGTCGTTTACACAGAACCTATTCGTGTGACATGCAAAGATCCAATGGGACGGGCATTAGCTGTCGATAAGAAGGATGGGGAATTGATCTATTCCATCCGGCTTGACATCCCTGGTCGGTTTTCCGTCAACTGCACGTATTTGGACGATCTGCATAATAAACGATCCGCACACGCCGTGTACGAAATTGAGCCCATTCCTCTACCAATGCCGCTCTTGCGACCGGAATGTGGTCGTAGTTTTCCCATGATACCTCTTCTTCTTGTGACAACAATAGTGCCTCCGCCTGACGCGGGGTACGAGAGGGATCCGTGGAGGCTTGGACTCAATGCATCTTCGACTGGTGCCACACTCCAAAAAATTTCGGGCAATGGCTCCTTTCTTCTGAAGCCCACGCAGACAGATGCCATAAATGTGACGGTCACACTGTGCACCCACTCTTCTTCCCCGTTGGAGGCGGACAGCCCAATTTTAATTTGTCGGTATGAAATGCTGCCGCTCGGTTTATCCGTGACCCCGTGGTTCGTGGGTCGCATTGGCTGCGAAAATTGCTCTGGTTCTGTTGATTTGTTGTTGCGGCAGCTTTCAAATTGCCTTTCATTTGGTACGACAGAACTTATTTTTATTCAGACGGTAGGGCCTTTTGTGATGATTCAATTGCAGCGTCTACCGACGTCTCTAAGAATGGAGTACTACACTCGCACCGGGGACTGCCTTTCTGATAAATATTTAACGGATGTTAGAAATGAAACCAGTGGGTCGATACAGTTAGCACGATGGTGGGCTGTGAATAGGACATCGTCGTCGTTGGACTTTGTTACGGGCGCAGGGATAACAATTGTGGTAAAAGGTTGGGGGCTTGACTCGGGCGAATTTCATTTTGTTCGTGAAGAGTTTCCCTGCAATGATATCGGCGTAAGTTATTCCACGAGAAATTCTCTTGATTTATTTTCTTTAAATTTGCTGTTTGTCATCGACACCCCAGGGAGTTACAAGCTTTGTGCATCGCTCAATGATGCCCTGTACGCTGTACCATCCAATGGAACCCTTATCGTGGACTCAAGTCAGTTGCCGGTCCTGCTTCCCGCACCATGTGGTGGCAGCTCGGAGGGCCCTGTAGATGTGGTATTAGAAATGGCATCGCGAGGTGTAAATCCATATCTTTTTATTTCGATCGATAATGGGTTTTGGTACCGTGTGGCAGCTGGCACGGCGGTACACGTTGCCAATTTAACACCGTCCGTCACATATGCAACCTTGGCAATTACTGCAGGCCAACGCAGCGTGGCCTCAGCAGTATGCGTTTTTTACCTTCCCCAGGGAGAGATGCCAAAAAGAGCAACATACAACTGGGCTGTGGCTTTCACGTATGAGGGTAGAAGCAATGTTCTTCTTTCTGTGAATGGCACCTTCTCTGGGAAGAGTCGCGTGGAACTGCGCGCGTATGGACCGCGGAGAGGCCAAGCGAACGGTTCTGTTTCAACAATGAATGAAACGGCGCTTCAGCGGGCTGTCTCAGACATTCCCTTTTTTGTCTCGTTGGGGACGTTTATGGGAACGTTTACGGTGGCGGATACTCTTCTCACGCTTGTTGGCAGTGCGGATGAATACCCGGTTTCCATTGTTGTGTCTGTTGATGGTACTTCCATGGATGCAGAGCCGTTGAGTGTAGCTTTATCACCACTAGCTATTGCCATGCATTCCTGCAAGAATTGTATAAGCGGCTGGTGCTTTCGTGACCAATGCGTCTGTATTGGTGAAAAAAACCACACTGCCTACTTGTGCGTTGAAAACCCCTTATCACCCACGCATCCCGACTCTGCTTCTTCTCGTTTCAAGCTGTTGATGGTGTACTTGCTACTTCTTGCTGCGGTTTTCATTTTTGTGGGGTTTGCCATATATAATGGGACGAAAAGGGGTGCCCCACAACGTGAGAGTGAGGGCGGTTTGGCTAGGCCGTAGAAGCGGCCTTTTGGACAGTGAAGAAGGGAGAATAAAACAGACAGTGAAAGAGTTGGTTCATATTTGTCCGTAGTATGGCGTTGGTGCGAATAGCGGCCTCTAGCTTGGTGCGGGAGAGGCTAAACAAGAGCATAAACCACGAACAAACAACAAAAATAACAAAAAAAAACGTGTCTTGATGGCAGCAGGTGAGTGAGAGTGGCGAACAACGCTCTCACGAAGGCGAAAAGGCTTAATTCCTCATGAGGGGGTGTGAGGGGCTGTATGCTCCTGGAACTATTTTTTTCGAAATCCCAATTTGTATGTTTTTTTTTTTTTTTTTTTTTTTTTGGATGTGCCCTTTCATAAGGCCTTCTACAAAGTTGTGGTGCGCTGCTTTAAATAAACTTGAATATGTTTGTTTGTCCAGGGCTTCATGCTTGATTTGTATGACTCGAATCTTTATTTATTTATTTATTTATGTTATTATTATTTATTTATTTATTATTTGCTGGGGCTACAACATTTTTGTCATTTGTTTTCTTTACTGCCATTTAGAGTGTGAGGGAGGGAGTGGTGCATTTTGCGTGCATTTGCGATATCAGTAGCCTCTCTGTCACCGCGCGCAGCATGCGGGTGCCATCAAGGAGATGGAGGCTTTTCTTGAATTATGTTGTGCGGGGCATTGTGTGGTGGGTGGGAGCTTTCCTGGTTGGACAAATTTATCCGGATTCCGTTAAGATATATGTGATGGTGACAGTGTTGCTTGGAATATTTACTTCTTTGGATTACGGGCCGCGGGAGCAGACGATGGATGTCAATGTGTGTGGTGCTTCAAAATCTAATAGGACAGGGGCCACTGCGAATGGGACGGATGTCGCCGTCGTTAACGATACCGCTGCTGTTGCTGTTGTTAATTATAATGGCGTGGCGGCTTGTCAGGGTGTTTCTGCCGTCGAGAAGCAGCGTGTTGTCTTTGCAGCTTTGAAGGGCATAGGGACGCCACAGGCGCTTCGCGCCATTCAAGATGAGAAGCTCCGCGAAGAAATTATTTGTTCTCCATTGGATGCTTCTTTCTGTTGTTGCGGCAGCGGGAAGCGCTTTGCACGTTGTTGTCGCCTGTTGCAAGAGGAGCTTCGTGGTTGCGGCCTGTAAGTCAACGGCATGAAGCGAGTTATTTGGCACATCTCTCTTTTTTTTTTTTTGTGTGTGTGTGTGTGCGGCATGAATTTCCACATTTCAAGCATCCCTTTACAGTTTGTTTGTGCATTAATCTATTTTTATTTTCCCTCCTTACCTTCTCTGGCTTTTTTTTTTCTTTCTATTCCTTATGCAGCTGTCGTGTGGTGGAACGGATCACCGCTTGACATGTTCCTTCGCAACCTTCTGCAGTTGCATTCACTCCACAGTCGACGGCGGTGGGAGCAGCGTATCGCATCGGTGCTCTCAGAACACGAGGAGAGTAAGGTGGATGACGCGGCACGGCGCTTCGCTCGCATCTACAAGGAGCGCCGTTACACTTCTGTGGAAGAGGCGTTTCCACTGCATGACAAGGCGCGGTGGGTCGGCTTATCAGAACCATCGGGTACATCGCCTGGTGCAAACCGCGCCGTTGCACAGCCGTCCAACCCGCACGTGCTTAAACTGGCCCTTTTGGGACCGCAGAACTCTGGTAAGACATCATTGCTTAATGCACTTTCCTTAAGCCACATTGGGGCCGTGAGTAACCGTAGCGGTAGCACCAAAGACTGGATCAAGGGAGTTGCGACCGTGCATAACACCCAGCTGGTATTGCTTGATACACCAGGCGTAGTCATTATCAACAGTGACAAGGACCGTCGACGGCACGCTGCACCTTCAGCGCGCGCTTGGGATGCGTTGATGGTGACGGAACTTGTCCTCCTTACAATACCTGCAGGTCTTGGGTTTGTTGAACCTGAACAGAAGGCGGTTGCTCGAGAAGTCGTACATCGTGCTTCTCTGCGTAAGATGCCCGTTGTGTTGGTTATTACAATGATGGATAAGGTTCAGACTCCTAAACATCGAGAGTTGTACTTTTCTATGCGCACCGATTTTGAATCCATGTGTTTGCCAATTGCAGCTGTTCATGAAACAAGTGTAAAGGGATGTAGTGGCCTTTTAGAGCTTAAAGACTTCCTTTGCAGGTACGCCAAACCAGGGGAATGGGAATTCTTTCGCAACGAGGCAACCGATGCCACCACTGTCGACCGGCTCTCGGAATTGCTGCGTCAATGCTTCTTTGAAGTCTTGCCGCATGAGATTCCACATCAGATGCGCCATCGCATCATTGGATGGACCAAAAAGGACTCTGGTACTACTGAAGTCATAACAGAGGTTTTTTTTGATCGTCCTGCTTACATGTTTATCTTTTATTCTAAGCTGGAGGCAATCTGTTATAGGGCACAGCGTGTTGTGGAACGCGAGTTGAAGGGACGGTATCGATTTGTGTTCCAAGCTTTTATTGCGCCGGGCGGAGTTTCCTCCAGATGACGCCTGCGTAGCAATGAGGACAGTTGCCTGAGATTGTCTCACGCGCCTTTTTTTTTGGAATGAAAGAGGAATGTAGTGTTCACGGATTTTCTCGTTTGTCTGGCCTACACCGATCTTGTTTTTGAGGTTGATTTACCCCCTTTCTCCCCTTTTATTTTCGATTTTATGGTATCCTCTTTTTGCTTGTGTGTTGAGACCTTGGCGGAGGCGAGGCGTTGTTGTGACCTCTGCAGCCCATTTATAAAAAAGGGGCCCCTTTTTTTTTTTTTACGGTTTTTGAATTCTTTACGTATCCCAGGGTGGCGTCGTCATGCCTCTCTGCTCGCACCCTGCCTCGGCGCAGTACTCGGACCGTGTTAGGGGGACAGTCACGTGCACCCTCTGCGGTGACATTGTACAGGATCAGCAGCTTGAACTTGATCCAGTATTTGCCCGTGGAGAGAAGGCCAATGCACGGAGCCTGCGTTCGCTTGGTCACTTTCGTCCCACACGGGGGGTCATTGGAACAAGGATGCCATCTGCACGTCCTTCCACTGAAGCCGCACGACGCGGCATGCTTTCCATTGCACGTCAATTGGATATTAGCGATGACATGGTTGAGATGGCAGTTGCTTTATACAAGTTAGCAGTAGGATTGAACGCAGTGTCTGGTGCTCGACCTTCCATTTTGTCTGCTGTTCTTTATGCAGTGTGCCGTCGTGAAAGAACATCACATATGATATATGACTTTTCTGATGTGACAGGAGAAAGCCCTTATGAGATTTTGTCCTACATGCGGAACATTTGCGAGGCCACCCACACGGAATTGCCTGTTATTGACCCTTCCTGCATGGTACACCGATTTGCGGAGCAAATGAATTTGGGCCCCATGACAGGACCAGTGGTGGTATGTGCATTGAAAGTCCTTCGTGCCATGCGGGATGATTGGATTGCTTGTGGGAGGCGACCCATGGGTGTTTGTGTTGCAGCCATTCTCGTCGCATGCTACATGTTTAACATCCCGCGCTCTCCGGATGAGGTGTGTGGCTTTGTTCGTCTGACGGCGGGAACCATTATGAAGCGTCTTGATGAATTTGCATCCACAACAACGGCTGGGTTACAAAGTATTGATGAGTACACGAAGAATGAAAGCTCACTTCCTCCTTCTTTTAGTTCTTCTCAAATGCGTTCCAACGACATGGATGTGGATGCCGAAATGAGGAAACTCTCAGCAACGTACTACGAGCTTGTTTCGGAGGCAAAGGTCTCCGCTCCTGCGACACCAGAACGCTGTGAGAAGTGGCGGCGTTTTCTTGTGCGACACTGTGAGATGGAAAACACCGTAGCAAACGAGGAGAATTTAGATCTGACCAAACTGTCGCCGCAGCAGCAACTGCGGATACTTGGTCTTCCCAACGCGAAGCCCATCGACCCGGAAAAGGTCCGGGAGTGTGTGCGGCGGGAGGAGGTGAAGATCCTTTTGAAGCAAGAACAATTTGACCCAGTTAGTGCGTCTCAGTCCATTAGCGGGGTTTTGCAACTGCCCCTCCAAACACAGTTGGATATGCCAATGCAGCCGATGACGGCGTACTACCGGAAACTCATGAACCACGATCCTAATGTGCTGGGAATTCGTCGGGATTTTGATTTCTCAGAGATGGGAGACGACCCTTCCCAAAGTCCATCTATTCCGCCCATCGCCGCGGGAAGTGTGGAGACCATGCCAGAGTCCCTTACAGAGGTGCTTTACGACAGCGAAAGACGCTTCGCATTGCCATGGGAGTTTATCATCTTGCAAGATCCCGCCTTGGAAGACACCACCGATCTGGATCTCTATTTGGTGCTTGACAATGAAGAACGACTGCGTCGCCGGAAGGTGGGAGAGGCTCTTTACAAGGAAGATTGGGACCTTGGTAGGGCACGTACCAAGGAGGAAATTGAAAAACTTGAAGATTTTCGAACGTCACGGAAAAGACGACGCGAACCCATCAAGGAGCACGCGACCGTGCAGGACGCATTGACTCGTGCATTGAGGGGCCGAGGCGCCGGTTCCGTGAATGTCTCGCAGATAGATGAACTTGTGCCTGGTCTTGTGAGCAAGTTCGATGGTGGGACGGAAGACGATTGGTTAAACGAATGAGCATTATGTTTTTGTGTAAATTATTTGTTTTTATGCTCTGAGGCCTCTTTCTTTTTTTTTTTTTTTTTTTTTTTTCATTGTTGTTATATTGTATATAAATGTGCGTGTATGTGTGTGTGTGGGTGGTACGTAGATTTATTTATATGTTTTTTGTTTTATTTTTGATGCTTCTTGGTTTTCTTTTACGTGGATGGTCATTTTTGCATGTGAGGGGAACGAGAAAAAGAACGAAGGAAAGACTCTGGTTGACCGTCGATTGGGATTGGCGTCTCTGTGTGGAGGGTGCTGGCGCGCACGTATGGAGGGAAAAAACTGTTTTCGAACAAAATGGTCTCAGTACCCAGTGTACAGCGGGGGTAACATTGCCTCGTTGCGGCTGCCGGCTCCGCGGGGTACTTCCTCATCGTCGTTAATATCCTCATCGTCAAGTAAAGAGGCTCTTGTGATGGCCTGCGGCGACACTGTGAACGTACTTTGGGCAAGTACGGGGGATCTGATTGCATCATATAAGCTGCCGCTGGAAGACGTCATTCTTCGTGTGGATGCCGTCTCTATTCTGCACCCAGAAGAGCTGGCAGTTGAAAGTACTAATTGTGCAGCCAAGAACAATAAGAGGAGAATGGTCTGCAAAAAAAAGGAAGGAGCAGAAAGAAAGGCGAATAAGGAGGAGGTGAACGAAACGTCGCTTGATCTCTCCCTTCATGCATCAGCGCCACCAGGTAGTTATATTGCCGTAGGGACTCGAACCCTGCAGGTCTATGTGCTGCGACTTGACTGTATCCATGAGGAGGAAGATGTAAAGATGTCTTCATCGCTGGTGGATTCTTCTGTTGATAACAACGGGAGCTTTTCGTGTGTACTTACCCCGTTGCGCAGCTGGACGGCGGCTCAGCAGGCGATTGCTGTGGTTCAGTTTACCTTCAGTGGAAGACACCTTGTTTCTGGTTCAACAGATGGCGGAGTGAAAATATGGGATGTTTTTAATCATCACCTTACACACAATCTGCGCATTCCATCTGCCAGTCTTGTGCATTCCGTTTACGTTGACCCTGCGGAAAAATATATTTGTGTGGGAAGCTTTGAAGGCCATGTGGCGGTTTTTGATTTTGTTGACAAAACACTGATATCACACGGCCATTTTCACGTGTCGGCGGTAGAATCCTTATGTTTAACTCCTAATAACGAGCATCTCTTTTCCATTGGGCGTGACCGCAAACTTGCCATTTGTACGGTGGATTCATCTACTTTGAGGGAGGTGCGTAGCTTTGTCGTGAAGGAGCACGTTTCCAGTGCACTGTTTGAATCCCCCTTTCGAATTCATGTTGGTGCGATGGACGGGACACTCTCTACGTATAGCGTTAGTGTCACGGAGCCCTTGCGTCTCTCACGCAGGATGCGAGGACCTTCGGTGGCTGCTGATGGACCGCCAGATGATGAGTGGGCAATTCGAAGTTTGCTGGCGGTTCAAAACCCAAAGGGTGTTCACGAGGCAGGGCCTCTGTATGGTTTGTTAGATGACGGGAATTCCTCGTCTCTGTACGCTGCTGATGCCGCCTTCAATATTTCTCATCTTCTCCCGGACATGGAAGGGAGCGGGTACTATGCTTCATCCACACTGGTGGGGTTTCTAGACCAAGTGCTGGACCTCAAGCCCTTTCCACCAGGATTTCCGTTTAAACGCATGGTTGTAACAAACAGCAAAGATGTGAGGTGCTACTCGACGAGCGGATGTATTTCATCCCAGATCCTTCGTGGACACAAAGACATTGTATTGACCTGTGCCTTTTCTGCAGATGCTGGAATAATTGCCACGGCTGGAAAGGATTGTGAGATCCGCTTCTGGTCCACCGCCAATTGGAAAACCATTGCAATTGGTCAGGGAGGCCATGAGGCCGATATCACCTCTATTGTATTCAATGCCAAACAATCGGAGAGCTATATTGTGCTTTTTTCTGTCGGTGTGGATGAGAACCTGCGTCTCTGGGATGTCGGGATGCACGTTCTTCCGGCGCTGCCACACGATGAGAAGAGGGTTAAAATGTCAATAATCGCTTCTCCCATTATCTTCTCGCACCGCTCCGGTATTAATGCCGCGCATGAGGGGCCAATTCACGCGATGGCAGTTGCCCCGAATGATCAGTACTTGGCAACAGCCGGTAAGGACAAGAACGTTAATCTGTGGAAAATCAATGGTAAAAAAGTTTTTCGAGATGCTTCTTTGAAGGGTCATCGTCGTGCAGTGTCTTGTCTTTCATTTTCACCGTGTGATCGTGTGTTGGCTTCGGCATCCAACGATGGAAGTGTCCGTTTGTGGTCACTTATTTCCTTGACGTGTGTGAAGACGCTGCAGATGGACCGCACCCCGGTGTTGCAGGTGGCATTCTTTAATAAGGGGACACAACTTGTGACGGGAAATGCGGAGGGTGTTTTGCGTGTTTGGGCGATTGCTGAATCAGAAGTGGTTTGGTCAGGAGAAACACACGAGGACAGAATATGGGCGTTGAGTCTTGTGGAGCAGGAGAATGAGAATGTCTTGCTGTTATCTGGATCTGCAGATGGTGTGTTGGTGGCCACAGAGGACTACACGTCAGAGGAAGCGGAACGTGTGCGCAGCGAGCGTCATGAGGTGATCCTCAAAGAGCAAGAGCTTGCAAACGCCATGCGCAGGGGTCGATACACCGAGGCTTTCTTGCTTGCGTTGAAGTTGAATCATCCACGGAACCTGCGTCAGGTTATTATGAAGTGGTCCGTAAAAGACGCACAGGACTGCGAAACTTCTTTGTGTCGCTCGATTCTTCCCTCTCTTGGTGAGGAACAATTGCTGCGGCTCCTTCAGTTTACGCGTGAGTGGGTAAGCAACGCTCGTCATTGCAGCGTCGCAAGCCTGGTGATGCACTGTGTCTTGGCGAGTCATCACTTCACGGAGTTGGCCTCAATGCCGGCAGTACGCACAATTTTGGAGGCGCTTCTGGCGTACATGCAGCGACACAGTCAACGCCTCCACGAGGTGTTGAGGCGGACTTATTACATTGACTACGTGACTCGTTCATTGGGTCCACTGACACTCACGAGCGAACCCCCCTTTATTCGCGACGTCGCCACTGTGGATGATGGGCTGGCGCTGAAAAGGCAACGCGCCGAGGCTGTTTATTTACTCTCCAATTCACCTGGAAAAAGGGAGTAAAGAAAAAAAAAAGTTCACACACATCCACACGCTTGGATGTTTGAGAGAAGAACATCGGAACCATGAGGGAAGAAGAAATAATAATAAATAAATAACGCATACTGTTTTAATGTTACCTTTTTTTTTTTTTTTTTTTTTTTTTTCAATCTTATTTATTTGCTTATTTATTGCTATTATTATTATTATTATTATTATTATTATTATTTATGTGTTTGTGTCTGAAACTTTCTTACATTTTATTTTTTTGGTTTAATTTGGTTGAATAAAAATAGATAACAACACTTATTTTTTGGATTAGCACCCTTTGATTCGCATTGGTCCTTCTCTATTGGGTGGTGGTGATCACTTGGCAAGCATCCTCGCACTGCGGTGTGGCGTTGGGGTCAAGGAAAATAAAAGAGGCTGAAGGGAGAGTATCGCGGCTCAATGGAGGCGTATCAGTCGCTGAGCAATCGCGTAGCCTCAATGGAGGATCTCCTCCGTAGGAGCGAGTCCACTATGGTGATGGTGCTGCAGCGTCTCAAAGTGTTGGAGGAACACGCGTCGGCGAGTGAGGTGCGTAATCGTGGCGAGCAAGCCGCACGGTATGAAGAATTCTCATCCCGGATGAATACAGCAATGGAGAACCAAAACAGCCAAATTGCTTTTTTGAAGGACGCCATTAGGCGTCAATCTTCTTCTTTACAAGTACTGGAGGAGCGATTGCAGGGTACCTCCAAGGCGTTAGAACAAAAGACGAATAGTGATATCTCTGGTTGCTATCAACGAATGCAGACATCAGAAAATTCGTTTACGGCGGCGTTACGCAATTTGGAATCGTTGTTGCAGTCGCAGTCTTCGGCCATGAATTCTTTAGAGCAGAACCTACGTGTTGACATGCACTCCATGCAGCAACACACAAATGGAGAAATTATGGGCATTCGTCAACGGGTTGAGATGGTGGAAAGCGCACTCAGCAGCTCCTTGAAGGAGTTGCACAAATCCGTGTCTAATGATATTAGGGCTTTATCTGAAAATTTTGTTGCGAAAATTCAGAATTCTGTTCAGTCGATGGATGCAGCACTGCTTGGAGTGGATCAGAAGGTTAGGGCAGACATGCGATCTCTTCATGAATCCTTGGGGAATGATATTTCAGTGGTTAGGCAGAGTGTGAGCGCTGCGGAAGTAAGCATGCGGGACGCTTTACGAGCTCTTCACGGCACTTTGGCGAATGATATCACGAACATGTCTTCTCTACAGCAGGAATTTGAGACGGCCCACCGGGCGGAGTATCAACGCCTTCTCGCCGAATTGGCTGCTAAGCGGGAGCGGATGGAAACGATTGATGCCAACTGGCGCTCGAGTGTGGTGGACCTTGGCGACAAGTTGCAGGATGGATGGAGAAATATTCTTTCCCAAGTGGCGTCAGTCGATCTGAAACTTCAGCAAAGGGTTTCGCACATCGGTACGTCTGTCGAAGAATTGTCAGCTCAACTACGTCGAACTGCGGAGAGCTTGGCACATTCACTGGAGGTCAAAATGAAATCCCTGGAAAATCTTTCTGAGGATGTGACCAATGGCAAAAAGTTCATGAATGCATTGCAGGAAGACCAGCAACGCTTACGTGAGGAACTTAAAGGGTTCTCAGCCTTGGTGGAGCGTAGTGGAGGGCAGCTGCGTTCGTTGTTGGAGGCTGCTGTTCAGGCTTCCCACAGCGATCTGCTTGAAAGAATAAAACCCCTTTTAAGCTACCGCTCTGAGATGCACGCCGCAGTAGCGGCTGCACTTAACAAACTCTGGAGCGAGGCAAACCGTGTCTTCACTTCCCATGGCGACATGGATGCTCTTCAAAATCAGATCCAAGTCCTCGACGACGCCGTGCGCAATGAGGTTTCTCTACTGATCGAGAAGGGGCGGGTGTTGGAGCGCCGTGTGGAGGATCAGCGGCGGCTTGACGTAGTCACGGAGAACCGTGTGTCAATAAACCCGGAATCAGGGGCTCTCATGCCTTTGCCAGTCCTCGATGAGCTGAACAATGTGTGGGTTGAGCTTCGCAACCTTCAAAAACACATGGGCATGCCCAGGGAGGAGGTTCTCTCTGTCATCAGCGATACCCGCAAGCAGCTCTTTGACGTCGCGCTGAACGTTGCAAAAAGTAACGAAAAAGAGTTCCGCGACATTCTTTCTCAGGTAAAAAAGGATGTTTGCGAGATACTCTCACATTCCAATAGGCCCAACGGCGTTGGCAATAGTAACGAGGCTGGGAACAATGCTCACAAACCAAAACGAACAATTGTGCGTGTGGTATCCCAAAACCCTCCAAATCCACCGTCGAGCAATGAGCTTCCGCCCGTTGTGAGAATTAGGAAGGGACCAAACTCTTATTCACTAGCGGAACTACAACCGAAAGGAACAGCAAATGATTTGCAAGAAGCACCCTCTCGGCCACGTACTAGAGCTGTTGAGGCTGCTACGCACCTCCCGTCCGTGATTCATCCTTCTTCAGAACCACCAGGTTTTGTATCAACCGCATCGTCTCTTTGTACCACCCCCTCACCTACTTATCAATGATGCTAAGAGAAGACGTAAGAGTGTCTACTCATTGTTAACCGCCGATGAAATATGCAAATGATGGAAATACAGGGTTTGAACGACGAGAATGGTGCTGCATTATCTGAAGTTGTTTTTTTTTTTTTTTTTTTGTGGCAAAGTAATTCTGCACACGCGTATGTACATAACGTTGCAACTATTTGAAAAGGAGGAAATGAAGACTTATATATTTATTTATATGTATTTCATATAAAAACCGAAATATCAACCTTGAGTGTTTTTTTTTTTTTTTTATTCCATTCATTTTATTTATTTATTTTTTTTTTTTCCGGTACAGGCGGGAAATTTCTGTGCTTATTGTTATTGTTCTTTTATCACCGTAAAATTCCTCTTCCACCATCGTTTTAAATAACACTTTTTTTTTTTTTTTTTTTTGCTGATTGATGTGTACTCGAGGAAATGCGGGGTCGGAAATGCAATATATAGTCAAAGACGAAAAGAGTCCAGTTGATTTATTTTATTTTATGTTTCTTTCTCCTGTAATATTTTAGCTGTTTTACTGAACTTTGCTCTTATTTGTGGTTTCTTTGAATGCATGTCTTTTTCTCTTTTTTATTTTCATTTTTTGTTTTTATTTTTTGAATTGAATGTTTATTTTGCATTTTTTTTTTATTGCTTCCTTGAGGCTTGCGTCATTATTAAAATTGTTATTATAATTGTTATTGTCATTATTTAGTTTGTTTGTTTGTCGTTTGTTTCTGCAGGAATTGGACGGCACGCAGCGCCTGAGCCCTATCAGCTATCCATCACTCTTGAGAATGGGGAGAAACAAGAAGAATAAGTCTGCGGCTGCCTACGGGACGGAGGAGATGCCGAGCGAGGAGAAATCGCCGCGGGATGTGCCTAGTGATGAATCCTCCACACATTCTGACAACAGTTCCGTTGTGGTGCAGCCCGTAGCCAAAAAGAAAGTTTACCATGGCAACAAACTTAGCAGAGCTGCCGGCGGCAAGGGAAAGAAGGAGGAACAGGCGCACCAGCTACCGGTTCCAGCAGCGAAGGTGTCGAATATGGAAGATGAGAAAACAACGAGGGAAGTAGAGGTGAACCGGAAGGATGATTGTAATGCTGGGGAGTCAGCGGATGGTCTTAGCAGGGCAGTTGGAGGAGGATCTTGCTATCGCGTGTTTTGAGCCTGTGGAGGTACTCTACTGCCCCATATGTACATTTCCTGCAGAGCTGTGCGAGTACAGTGGAATGTACGAACAATGCCGGCCATGGCTTCTTGAACATGCGAAGGAACTCGCTGAGGCTGAAGAGCGTGGCCGCAAGCGACGTGCGCTCACAGAGCGGGAACGTCTAGAGCGACTTGTGCAGGGTCGCGGGACGAAGAAAGCAATCGAGCGCATTGTCCTCGTGGAGGTGACGCAACGCAAGGGACGTAAGATGACTACCTCCGTGAAGGGCCTGGATTTATTTGGTTTCAACCTGAAGGACCTCTCGCGGGAATGGAAGAAGCTGTTTTCTTGCGGAGCCGGCGTGACTTCTTCGGAGGAATTGAAACAAAGTTCCATTGATATTCAGGGGAATGTGGCCGCTCAACTTATTGAGATGTTACCAGAGCGTTACAACATTCCCAAAGATGCCATCTACCAGATGGAGGATAAGAAGAAGGTCAAGTGCTACAGTGAGAAGTAGCGAAGAATGGAGGGAGGAAGAAGTGGAAACAGCTCCAGGATGAGAGCATCACAAGCGAAAGCCGCACTTAAACGTGCAAGTTTGTTTTTCCTTTTTTTCCAGCTATTAATGGGGAAGTTTCTTTGGAGAGGATTAATGTCAGTGAAAACAAAATAAAAGGGACACTAAAGGAGTTGAGGGAAATAATAATAATAATAATGCAGACAACCTAAAAACATTTCTCATTAGATGTTGCCGAGGCGTTGCTTCATTTATTTTATTAATTTTTTTTTTTTTACCTTTTTTTTCCTTTATTTTCTGTGCATGCGTGCATGCGGTACTTAGGATAGAGCAATAAACGGTTATTTAGCTTTGGGGTGGCAAAGTGGGTTTATACATATATATATATATATATTTCCCCTTGTTAGGCTACAGCCTTTCCGTCATCATATGCATATTGATATATAATTCTTTTTTTTTGTGTGTGTGTATCTTGTCCCATCGATGCCACTGAACTATCTTAGGCGTCTTTTGCTTTCGGCAATTGTCTCGGAGGGATCGAGAGCACCGCTTTTTCAGCGCGTCGCCAAGAAAACGGCACGAATGGAGCGTGATGCACCAGAGAAGGTGGCGGTCTGGACACGCGCTGCTTACGTGGAGGCGAGAAAAGATGCTGAAACTCTGTGGGTGAAGTTAAGGGAGGTTTTGTACGGGGATACGAATATCAAGCGGGTGGAGGGAGACAAGAATTCGCAAAACGACCGAAGAGAATAGACTTCACTCTTGCGTATTATATATGCTCGTGCTTACGTGTGTGCGTGTGCATGTGATGACTGTTTTGAGTTTTCTACTTCTGGATACAGTACTGTTACAGGATAATGCAGTTTTTGGGTAAAAAAAAAAATAAAGATGCTTTTTCTTTTTTTTTGGTTACTTCCCCGTTCTCTTTTTTATTTATTTCCATTGTGCATAAATGGACTTACCTCCGGTTTTTTTTTTTCTTTTTTTATATGCTTTGTGTGACATGGCAGGAGTAGTACGGCTGTGTTGCACGTGGACGGTGATTTGACCATGGTTTCTATGAAGGAGTATATCCACCTTATTGGTGACTCCGTTAATGATGCTGACACCGCCAGGTTAGCCGAGGAGGCTGTCAATGCGCCCTCACTTTTTTTTTATGGATCTCTTTTTGAGCTTCATTCGGTGCAGAAGCTCCGTAGCAATCCTTCTTTTGCCTGGATCCCACAGCTGATGGAGATCCTTTGCTACGGGATGGTGGATGAACTCCATCTTCTTCCTGGCAGTGCAAAGAAGCATTTGACGCCATGTGTTTATCAGAAGATGAATAAGTTATCTGTTCTCTCTCTATGCATTCGCGATGACACGGGCGGTGTGCTTTTTATTCGAGATGTGCAAGGTGCCATCGGTGCTTCCACACCCTTAGAGGCGGAGGAATTGCTTATTGAAATGATGTCTGATGGGTTGTTGCATGGGCGCATTGACCAACGCGGCGGCGTAATGATCTTGCAGGACTTTGCAGCGCGAGAAGTTCGAATTGAGGAAGTTGGGAGGCTGCGCGGAAAGCTGGAGACGTGGTGCCGGAACTGCGATGCTCAAATTGAAATGTTGGAAGAAATGATGAAGGAGTGACCGAGCCACGGGAGAAGCAACATGCCGATGGGGCAAGCTGTGTTTTTCAAGGGAGACACAAAGACAAAAAAAGCGAGCGCATGGGTTTATGTTCGTAATTAGGATGGGGGTGAGAGCTGCCGCAGCGGGGCGTATATTCTTCACTCCGTTTGCCAGCTGATGTGCTGAGAAGAAACAAATAAAAGGTCTGTGGGAAGCGCGCACGCAGAAACACACAGAGCATAATGGGTTAGAAAGGTATAGGAGCCCAATGAATGCACTCAATGCCACTCACGTTTTTACGGCACTTTTCTTTTTTCCATTTTCTAATATATGTAATTTTTTTTTGTCTGTATATATGCGCTTTTGAGTATGTCAACCAAATAGGGTGGAGAAGAAAAAGAGGGGTTCGGAAAGGTGTATATATTTATATGACATTTGATGGCAAGGCCGTCATGGAAAGTGACCTTCCACTGACGGTGGAGGAACTTGTGGCCAACTACAAGTCCATTCGACACCTTAATGAAGAACTTTGCGCCTTCATCGACAATATTCGTGTAGAATGTGATAGCATTGCTGAAAGTTCTCCTTGTGCTGCGCAGGCGCTTCGTGATCTTTTTTTGAATTTTTCTCAGGGAAAACCTGCTGTTGCTTCATTCTTGAATGCGAATGATCCACACTCCAGTAGTGCCGCCAATGGCAGTACCAGTAGCGTCTGCACTGGTAGCGGTGTTGTGCTGGAGGGCGTGGTTGTAAAAAATCAAAAAGGCAATGAGATGTCACATTCAGCTGCGGGAGGCGCGAAGAAGTCACGCTTTCTGCGATTTGTCGAGGAAGCTACGCGTGACTACAAGGAGGAATGTGGTGTTTTGCGGCTCAAGATGATGGCAATGGAGAGTGACCAAAAACTGTTGTTGCAGGCCCGGAAAAACTTGAGGGAACAAGAAAAGAAGTATGGGACGTGTATGTCTGCACTAAACGATTGTCGCAATGATCTCGCTTTGTCTCGTTCTCAGTGTACTTTTCTTTTGGGGGTACTCAAAAACGGTGAGTCCACGGTCACCGCATCCACAATGAAGAACGTTATTGAGCAGGTTGGTGAGTGCATGTTGGTGGAAAACGGAGGGTGTGGCGGGCCCACGGTGACGGTGGAGTCAACAGCAGCCGAGGTCGATTCGGTGCATTCCCTCGCCGTCCGTTTAGTTGAGGCAGAAATTGGGCTGCAAGAGTCCCAGGCAGCAGTAAAATCACTTGGTACCAAGGTTGAGAGGCTATTGTATGGTAACGATCAGCTTAAAGCGCGGCTGGAGACATTGGCGGAGGAACGCGATGCACTGAAATCTCACAACACGCAGCTTGAAGGACAGTTGAATCGTTTGTTGTTGTTGTTTCACGATGATGCTGAGGCGCGGCGAGGGATGCAAGGAACTGAAGAGGCGAGTAGCGTCGTGACATGTAGAGCTGAGGAGGGGCCAGAGAGGGATGAGCTGAAGGAACGTCTGCAAAGGCTTTCTTGCGATAACCGTGCTCTTCAAAATACACTTCTGCAGCTTCAACGGCAGATCAATGATTCTGAGCTGCGGGCGGAGGAATTGTACTCGGAAGGTGGCGGGGAGGTTTTGGTGCTGGAGGAAGAAGTTGCTCGCCTTCGCGAGGCGCTGCGCGAGAAGCAGTTTGAACTTCAACGGACTCACCACGACTTGGAAAAGGCGGCGACGCGGTGGGAGCTTTTGGATAAGGTGCACCGCACTGTCATTTACCACGTGTCGATGCGGCTGATGCACGACGTTGTAAGGCGGTTTCTTCCGCGTTCTCAGGAGGACACTTCTCCGAAAGCACTAGCAGCGGTATCAGAGGATAACAAAGAGAATAGCTCCGATTTGGCATTATCAGACGATACAGCCGTAGCAGTAGCAGTTTCTTCATCTAGAAACTCTGGTAATGACAATCGTGTAAAGGAACTTCTTTCTCTACTTGAGTCAAAGGATTCTGAACATCGCTTGGCGCTGAGGCAATGGCAACATGTGAACCAAGAACTGCGCTCTGCTCTCGCAAGCTTGCAAAAAGACCTTAAACAAAAGGAAGGTCACATAAAAGTTTTGGAAAGAGAGAAGCGCTCCAGTGATATCCATACCACGACATGCTTAGAGGGTGTTGCTTCTGGCGGTCATGGGGATTGTGGTGGTGATGACTTGTTAAACACCCAGCCAAAGGACTTGGAGCAGATGAGTGGACTGAGGTGGAAAGAAATTCAGAAGGAGAATGAAACTCTTCTTCAGCGTGTGGCGGCGATGCAGAAAGAAAACTCTTCCCTTAATGTACTTTTGGGAGATTTTCGGGCACGTTGTACTTCATTGGAGCAGGAACTCGCGAAGAGAGTGGGGGCTGTAAGTCGCCAACTTGTGGGTGGCGCTGCTCTGACTGACACTATTCCAATTCGTAATCTTCAGCGCATCCTGCACGACGTCCTTCAGGAGAACTTGATTCTTGTAGCAAGGGTGAAGGAACTTGAGTCCAGGTAACCCTTTAACATCCAGGCTCATTTTACTGGCTGGTTTTGGATGTCAACAGGTTAACCAGCATTTTTGAAATTTTTGCGGATTGAAAACCAACAAGCGAAAGGAGGATCGGGAATAGAGAGAGAAGGAAAGAAAGGGGTGAAAGGCAGAAGCGTCTTTTTGTTGTTGTTGTTGTCAAATTTTTGTTTATTTTGTGTTCTCTCTTTCTTTCTCTCTTTCCTTTTTCCCTTGAATGTTTTTTGATGTTGTTGCCTCCAGAGATATGTGGTGTTCCCCCTTTAATCGCATTTGTCATGGAAAGTACTTTTTTGCTTTATTTGCGCGGATGGTTTCACTGTACTCTTTTTGGTTGTGCTTCTTCACCCCCGCTCCTTCTTTTTTTTTTTACTTTTTTTTTTTTTTTTTTTTTCTTGCCTTGCTGTCTGTTTTAATTGCCCATTTGTGCCGTTTCTCTCCTTTACGTCTTTGTTTGTGGGAATTGAAGTAAGGAAAGAAGAAAGCTTCTCTGATGGCTTCCTCTTCGGTGAAGGCCATAATGGCAAAGGCGGTGACAACGTCCCCAACCTTCTTTAGCGACAGCAATTCGGTGAAGGGGCGCAAAGAGCAGAAAGATGCGATTCGGAAGGAGCGGAAGGAGCGTGCGGCAACTCTGTCTCAGTGGTACGGCATGAAGAAAGTAAATCTTGGCGCGGAGGAGCGACGGGAGCTGGAGCTGTTGCAGTTCCGCAACTTCATCAACCCGGAGCTGAAGCACCAGGCGCCGAAGAAGAGCAGCACGGAGCAGAGTGAGTTTGTGGAGTTTGGCTTTTTTGCCGGCACGGGGCGAAACAAGAGACGCCGTCTCAAGTCATTTGCAGACGAATGGATTGCAGAGAACCCCGAGTTGGAGCAGGTCGTGGCAAGGCGACTTAAGCGAAACGTGCGGCTGAACCGCAAGACAAAACAAATTATGGCGAAGAAGGCTGCGAGAGAGGCGGCTCGTGTGAAGGCCACAAAGTCTTCAAAACGGTTCAAAAAGAAGGGCATGATATTGTGAGGTCTCTGATTGGTCGTATAAAGTGTAAATGAATGAGAGAGTGACGGAAGGAGAGGAGGAGGTAAAACTTGTTTAAGTTCCTTTCACTGCTGCCTTCTCATTGACTCCATTCCTTAATTTTTTTTTTATTTTTTATTTTTTTTTACGCTCTGAATTATAGTGTTGCTGTTTTTAATATGCGCGAAGGAAAAATAGCGATCGAGTTGTGTGAGAGTGAGGCATTGAGTCGAATTGCAGGCGTTTAGCCAAAAAAAAAAGAAAAAAAAAAATAGATGTCGTTCCTATTTCCGTTTCAACCGAGCGCGGATTTGGAGCGTGTTGCTGAAAACGTAGGAGGGGATGCGGCTGTTCTTGCTGCCCTTCTTTTTAACACCTCGACGCTTGGCACGTACCGCATCCAGGAGCATTCCATTCATCGGGTGAAGGATGCGATTGAGCAAGGAAAGGGAATTGGGCAATTAAACTCGGAGAAGTATCGTCTTCTTTTGCAGGATGTAAAGTTGGCCGCTCAACAGTTGCATGAAACAGTCGAGGAAGGAAGACATGCACTGCAGAGAATGCATTTATGTGTTGGGCGACTTCTCGTGGGCATGCCGGGGACGGAGAGAAAGCAATTTCTCGGGACGCCTCGCGAGATGGATTCTCCGCCCTTTCCGTAGCTTAGTTTTTTGTTGTTATTTTCATTTATTGCGTGCGTGGGCATTCCTTTGGGAGTTGCGGTTGCTGATATGGAACCGAAACAACTGGGAGCTTTTTGTTGAATTCTTTTATTTTTATTTTTGCTTTTCTTCTTTTGCTTTCATGTTGGTGCGTTTTTGTTTGTGTGTGGCGGTGTTTTGATTAATTTGCGAAGGGACTCTCTTCTGGACGGGGCGGGGGAATGTCGCGGAGCAACGTTTTTGGCCCTGGATCGCAGTTTTCCTTCACGAAATTTGGGGCGCTAAACCGCGCCACCACCGCCACCAACTTTGCCCTGAACAAGCGCGTCAAGGACATATTTCGGCTTGAAAACCAGAAGCATATCCGCAATGATTTGGACCGGGAGCGGCGCTATCGCTTTTGCACCAAATGCGGCATTACAAGTGTGACCATCAACTTCAATGCCGTTCCTTCAGCCCGTATAGGGTTATGGGGCCGTTGTGTTGATGACAGGGATTACACCCACCATAAATTGGTGGAACTCTCGCAACGGGAGTACGAGCAGCTGCGTGAGTTGCCCGTAAAGGAACGAATACATTGGTGGCGCTACGATCGGAACTAAGAATAACATTGGGATTTATATGGCTATATGGAGAATCTCACATGCAACATCGTCTGTCATGCGTTTTTATTTGACACGTTGCATCTCTTTAATTAACCGTGGAATACGTGGGAGTTAAAGGTGTGGATGTGTTTCAACATTGTGCTGTGATACGGGGGATATAGGAGAAGGTGTTTTGGGTGCCATGATCTCCATCCAACAGCAACAAAATATTGCCGCCTCTGGGGTGTGCCGTGAGGCCCTGTCACCTTAAATCGCCCATGCAGCGGACGTCAGGGCTAATGCCGAGTCTATTTCTTTTCTACAAATCCATGGAGGACAGTGGTGATGGTGCGTGTATATATGCATATACATGTGCGCACAGCCGGCTGAGAGTTTGTACTTTTTGGTTTGAAAAAAAAAGGCGGAAAAAATGCGATCATTTGTTTTTTTTTTCAGTGTTGAGGTTGTTTACTACGGCACCGGGTGATTTCTATTTGTATTTTTAGCTTTATTTTTATTTTTTTAAATTGACCGAATGAAGATATCCTTTTTTTTTTATTTTACGTTGACTTTTTGCTTTGTTTGTTTGTTTCACTGGTTTACCTGCGAATATGCCTGTGCCACTCCAAAGCCAAGGAGCCCAGCGAGATTGCTTCCTCCATACAGTGCCAACGCAGACCGAGAGTTGTTTCTGTGTGGATTTCGCGAGCCATGGACTCCGCTGTGGAGGATTTAATTCGTGCAATGGATATCAATAAGGCAAAGCATGATTCGGCATCCCTTTGGCGAAAGATACGTAACATGAGAGAGGAATCTCAAACAGTTGACGAGTTTTTATTTAAAAGAGTATTGCTTTGTTCTGCCAGATGCGTACTGGCGAAGTTGGAAGAAAGTGGGGGGGCGGAGGAACAGTGGATAGGGTACCTGGATTTTTTCATGGAGGCAGTGCGTTCTTTTGGTACGAGATATGCCGACCCTCTTCTTGGGACATGTGAAGAAGTGTTTCACCTTGTGTTGGGATACCCGGAAAAGCCGAGGGATCTTTTTCATGAGTATTTATTCTGCCTTTCAGCGCAGAGACATCAGTGCATGGGGATGAACCCCAACTTGGCTGGCACAGCTCCGAAATGCCCGATGCTGGAGAATAAATCGACTGAAGTGGCTTTAGTTCCCGAGGTTCCACTCAACGAGGTGAGGCAATACGTGAACGACCTCCCGCAGCGACTAACATTTCCCTTGCAAAATGGGGTGGTCCGTATGCGTCTGGGAAATCCGCTGCCCATACCGGATGTTGGTTATGTTCGTGGTGGATACAGATGTGATACATGTTGTATCTCCAATATTCAGGTAGCATACCAAGCAATGCTTTATGACGACATGGATAAAGCAGGTGTTCGCAGTGCTGTACATTTTCGGAATTTAGCAAATCGCGTCGGCTTTGATATGTGTGTGGCTTGTGCCGTATATTTTTATCGTGACGCGGTCTTGAGATTATCACAGTTTCTTGGGGATCACTCTAGAACATTTCGGGTGGGTCCTGATGCGGATGTTCAGTTGCACTCATTTTCAAGTGAGGGCAATGTGGTTAAATTCACCGTCTCCATTTTACCTTGGGGAGCGCGGCCCATTGTGTGGATAGCTGATAAGGAAGAATATAATCCACCTGCTGCCTGGCGTTTGGCGGTGAAAATTGAGAGCTGTAATCAGTACGATCCCTCTCGAAGGAATGGCGGTAGTGATGACGATCAATGCGCTATTTGTCTACAGCTACTGGCCAATGGAACGCCTGTTTTGGAGACACCTTGTAAACACTGTTTCCATGTAGATTGCGTTCAAGAAATGCGTAGTATGATGGACGATGAATGCCCATTCTGTCGTCGAGAAAATGTTTTTACTAGTTGCGTTAATTTGACAAGTCAGTTGAACATGTACAAGGTGCAGGTTGACCTTCCGAATGAAGCTAAAGAAATTGTTTTGGCCGTGGGCTCGTTGTTGACGTCCGATGGCGAATACAATAACCCCACTAACATCGCGGCCTGTAGATCTATTCTTGTCAGGCATTCCTGCATCATGGATTTTGAGGCGGAAAGGAAAAAAAACTCTCCTGTTAGTTAGAAATCGGTGCTGCGGCAAGTAAAGAAGTGAAGAACTTGAGAAGTATAGCATTGGTTTCATATTATTGCAGTCACATAAGTGCTTTTGTCGGGTTTTGGCACCCAAATATTCACCGAAAGAATGCACCTCCAATAATGAGTGTTTTTTTTTTTTTTTTTGCTTTGTGTTGTGTTGTGTGTCCGTGTGTGTGCATGTGTTTATGTGTGTTGTTTTGTTGTTGAGAAAATTGCGGGAAGCGTGAGATTTTGTGTGTGTGATATTTTTTTTTTTTTTTTGAATCCCTTCTCACCACAATTTTATAGCTAATTGGTTTGCGTTTTTTGGGTTGTGTTTTTTCAGAATATTTAGAACTTCGAGGGCGGGACGGTGAAATTACTTCAGTTTTTTTTTTTTTTGGTTCTCCTCCCCACTCCGCTTTATTCTTTTTTTGTGCTATGGCTTCAATGGCTTTGTGGGAGGTTCCTCGAATTCAATGACGCGAGGCACGTGGCCTTTCGCTGATGCAAATATTTTGGAATCCCACAGCATGAGGAGCTGAGAGACGACGTCATTTCATCTTATTCTTCTGTTCTTTCCCCGTGGGTTTTGCAACAGGCGGTGGGATTGTGGTATGGCGGATATTTTCCTCTTGGGACTCGAGGACGCGTTCTCGCCTGCATACTGCCGTATGTTGGGCGGAAGTTTTTGAATAAATTCTCCCAGTTGCTCCCGGGGAGAGGGGGAGCACAAGAAATATCCCCAATGATATTCGTTCCATCTCTTGTGGCCATGGGGGTTTTCCATAAAATGTGCGGCTTCCGCATCCTCATTACCCACGCAATTGATATCTCAATGGCCCCTCAAAAGGCGATGAAAGCAAACAGCTGGGTGTATGGCCGGTCACCCGTTGTGTGATTGAATAATCCCTACTTGGGTGAGTCATCTTTTGGTTTTAGATGCAATAAAGCCGATGTATTGAGGGGGAAGGGGGATGTGGGTGACGGAGGCTTTTTTCCCCTTTATTTTGGAGTTGCATGAAGCGAAAATAAAACCGTTGTCTCTTTGAAGGCTTTAATGCCTAATTTCAGTGGTGCCTTATTGTTTAGGTGCCACGCCAACAGGAAGCCTCAGCGAATCGCAAAACCTGTTTATGGCATCATGTCATCTACTTTTGTGTTCTTCGTTCTTCAACGTTTGTCTTTTTGCGGGTTGACGTTTGGAAAGACAAAAATTGTGGTTTGTATTTTTTTTTAATCCTTTTTTTAATGCCTTTGACCTTTGGCCCTCATGCTGCTCCAACTGTAGTAGAAGGCTCTGCAAAACGCCTTGAGTTTTTTTTTTTTTTAGAAGCATGGAAAATCCTCCCGTTGGATTTGACTCAACCCCAGCCACATCCACATTTCCTCCTACTAAAGATGAGACGGCTTCCAGGCATGCAGTGAGCATGAATTTTGGCAAGTTGGCCCTTTCAGAAATGGAGGAGGAGGAGGAGGAGGAGGAGGAGGGTGGCTGCGAATATGAACGTCTGGTAGGCAGAGAAGAGAAGGAATTTTTGTGCGTGCCACGTGGTGCTGCATCCACTTTGCAAGGGTTCGGCTGGAAAGCGAATTATGAACCGAAAAAGGAAGAATCGTTGTTTATTCATCTGAACGATGCCAAGAATAAAACGTATGAAACATCGACTGTGGCCGATACGACGTTTCAACAGTTTGACCATCCTCCTGACGGTGGGAAAACGGAAAGGCAGGAACGCGTTCGAGAGGCCGTGGGGACAATGAAGGCATTGGACCCCGGCACTGGGATGGCACATGAAGAAGCGGAAGAGGAAAAGGGAATCCAGAAATTGGGAAAAGACCCTGGCACCGCTTGGGGGGCAATGAAACGGAAGGATGACCCAAAAGAGTGCGCAGGCAGCGGTGTTTCTGCTTTTCCACACGCCATGGTCTTACACAAGCCGCAGACAGTCGCTTTTTTCCAGAATTATTTTGTACCCACAACACAGTCTCCGTCATCACCCGCGCCGATGTGTGAAAACAAGACTCCTATAGACTACACGCAACGGGGGAAAAGCCACTCATTATTCTCAGGGGAGAATGAGCCAGTGCCTACAGAAACGGAAGCACTGCTGAGCTTGATGAACGGCGAAGAGAGTGTGTCTATCCCGCCCACAAGCCGATCTGTTGGGCGCTATTTGTTTTCAACACAGCGCGAATACAATGACAAGGACGATCTTATGCCGACTGCTGAGGAGACGCACTCTGTTTTTTTGCGGCGTGAGTTAATGGAACTCGAGCGCAACGCTGCGGCTTTTCTTGTGGAGGAGGAACACGTTGCTCGTTGCTCCCTTGAAGAAGAAGAGGTGAATGGCCGTGATTTGCTTTTGAATGCAGTTCAGTTGGATCTTGATACGCTGTGTTTTGGCGAAGTGGACATGGAGGGAGATCAGAGGTACACTACTCCGCCGGTTAAACCGAAGCCCTATAGCCCTGTGTTAGATAATATGGATGACCACAATGAGTTGTTTTTGCGAAACACACGGATTGGCAGCAATATGGACGATGATGTGGTGACTCCGCTGGAGAAGCTCTTGCGTGAGAGTTCTCCAAACGTAAGGAATTTATCGACATTCAACAGCCCTGCGAATGGTGTGTACACTAACATCTACGAACCGCCGTCTGGTAAGGTGGAAGTTGCAACTTCAAAGTTATCATCGGGTGCGTCCAGAATTGGTCTGCTGGCGAAAAATGCTCCAAAACCTTTGTCTTTAGAGGCTGCCCAAAGTCATTTGTCCCCGCGGTGTCTGCTTGAAACGCAGCGACATCAGCTAGAGATGGAGCGGCGTTTGACTCAGCGAGACCGCGACAACTTGGAGCGTGCGCTAGATGCACGTCATCAATTTATTCAGATACCTTCTGACGCACACGCCCAGCTGCGTTTCGAGCCTTCAGACTCCTTCACACGTGAGCGGCAGCTGATTTTGGGTTCCTTTGGCATCACTGGTCAGAAAATTTCTCAGGCTGATAAATCAACGCCGCAGAAGGAAGGAAAAGAAAGGGGATTCCATCACCATCATCAACAAAGAGAACAACAAGCGGTGCTGCAGCCACAGACACATGAGGAAGGTATGCCTGGCGTCGGTGTGTCGCCCATCTCGCCCCAAACATTTGTTTCCTCTCCCAGTCCTCCGAAACCGTTGGCACAGAAACCGTCTCCAAGGGAGGCAACCATCTTTGCTGAGGCGTGCGAGGCAAAGTACAAGGAGAGTTTGACAGCCATGAAGGAATTAATAGAACTGTATCAGGCGTTCATAAAGACGAAGCCACAATCAAAAATACTGTCTGGGGAATCACAGATTCAAGTTTACAATTCCAACGTGAATGAACCAGAGGCTTTTTCAATTGTGACGTACGAGAAACGTTTGGCTCGCATCAAAAAACTTTGTTCCTCCTTCAACACCAAAACGAGTGTGACACATTATTACCGACGTATTCTCCACACACCGCCGTTGCCTCTTTCTCTGCTTCCCGAAAATGTTACCGACGGCATTAGTCGAAATTATATGAGCGCACTGGTCAAAGGAGCTATTATATCCCATCGAAACTCTGTTGAAGGTGTCGAGAACACGCGGAGAACAGATGATAGTGGAGCAGCCAAATATCCTTCACACCGTTTTGCTGGGTTCTGCGAAAGTGGGGTTGGGTATGTTGTGCAAAAGGCCAAACCGACACCTTTTGTAGCGGATGAGAATAATGAGAGACGCGGCACATTTTACTGCCAAAACGCCGATTCATATTTGCCTCCACATCGTCGTATTAAAACACCTCCAGTTTCGCTTGGTTGGGAAAAGCAAATTTCAACAAAGGAAGTTTCCGTGTCGTGGCCGGTTCTTCGCTGGGACGCACAGCGAAGTGAGAATATTCTCATTTCTCGAAATGGGACGACATGCATGGCGGATGCGTCAAGACTTCTTCAATTGATTGCCCTGGAGAAGGAGCAAACTGGGAAGGCAGTTCCTTGCGCGAAAATTCCAATGTTTGCGCTTGGAACGGTCGGTATTGCGGAGGGGGAGTTTGTTTTTGAGGTACGGATTGATGCTCACCCTTCATCGACGCATACACCGCCAAGCGTGTTTGCGGTTGGGATAACCACCAAATATTATCGAGGTGCGCACCAAAAAAGCCCAGCTTATCTATTCCGCTCGGATGGTACAATTGTGGCGTGCTCTGATGATGAAACAGGGGTTCCATATGGATGCCCTTATCATTGCGGCTCCCATATTACCGTTTACCTGAGTCTGATTCGAAAAGAACTTCATTTTTCTCTCAATGGACAACCATTGGGTGCGGCTTTTAGGTTTAGAGGGGTGGAGGATCCTGAGCCTTTGTTTCCACTGGTTGTACTGGGTGGGGAAGGTCATAGTGCGAGTTTTGTTCCGCCGTCGGCCCCACAACTGCCTCAACATGTGATTCCGCCGGCGCATTGGAGCATGCATGTTGTTCAGTCCCACTAGTTGTAACGTTTTTACCTTTTACTGCATACACAGTTTTTTAAATATATATTTTATTTATTTTTTTTTGTGATTTTTTGGGTATGGCCTTTTTTTTTTTTTTTGTGTGTGTGTGTGTGCGTTCTTATTTGTATCGTTTCTTTTTTATTTGTTTCACATACACTGCGTCTGGCGGATGTGTTGGTTTGAATTCTCTCTTCTGGATGTTTTTTTGTTTGTTTGTTTGTTTTGTTTGCGTGTGTGCGATTCTTATTCTTATTCTCTCTCTCTCTCCTTCTTTTTTTTTTTTTTTTTTTAGAGCGCTGCATTGTTAAGTTTGGCAGATGGCTGAGCTTCACGTTATTGGAGATCTGATGTCCGGGGAAAATTTTGGAAGGAGGAGCTACTTTTGCATCTTTGAGATTGTCACAGGGGAGCACTGGAGCGTCGTGGAAGGTCGTACGTCCGGCTGCACTCATATCATGCAGAGTGGTGGGGACGGTAGTGTTTTGTGGTGTTTTCCATTAGATGTCCACTTTACGACGAACAGCATAGAGGGGTGGCCCAAGATATCACTGCAGGTGTGGTCCATTGACCAATATGGCCGAAAGGATCTGGAGGGATACGGTGTCGCCTTTGTGCCGCCGCCCAGCATGGAAGAACAGGAGGTGGTGGTAGAGACATGGAAGCCATGTTACTGGAGTCCGAGCTTTTTCACTCGCATTTACGAGGCGCTTCGACTTGTCGTACTTGGCGGGAATCCGGTACTGCGTGATAAGGCGCTTATACACACCAACGACGAGCGTTTCAAATTGCAGACCAAAAGTGGTGGAACGGTTTGTCTCCAGTTAAATGTAATTTCGCGGGGAATGCAGAGGTTGGGGATTCGGTACAGTTGAGAAATTCAAGGTGACAATGACAGTGAGGAGTCAACTTCTCTTTCTAAAACAAAAAATAAAAATTGTTGACGGATGTTTTTTCCACCTAAAAGAAGAGAGAAAACGGATACATAATTGGATGCTCCAACTGCTCACTTATAGATGCATGCATCGTGACATCTTCTTTCTTTACGTGACTATCAACTCCAAACGCCTTTTTTTTTTTTTTATTATCTTTTTCTCTTTTTGCTTGTATGTTTTAGCGGCGAGGACCCTAAAATCGAATGGCCAGCAGCATGGATGGGACCCGTTCCACGTGGCGCGGTGTGCAGTTTTTTGTTGATGTGGATGTGCTGCTGACCTTCCGCACTGTGACGTTGTCCGATCTGGAGGGACAGCCGGGACAGCCCCAGCGGCGCATTGCAGTGGTTGATGGCAAGGCCGTTTCTGTGGTATCGTACCCCGCCGCATCCTTTTTTTTGAAGACACTGAGGGCCACCGGCAATTCCGTAGTTTTGGTTACTCCCTGGAAGACAGAGAAAACGGCGTCTCTTTTGCGTTTGTTTGGATGGGACGCATTTGATGAAATAAGAACCATCCTCCGGGAACCCGGACACGAGAATTTTCGTTTGTCCTGCCTGAACTGCACTCTTGAGGAGTACCCTGTTTCCGTGGTTGTGACGACGTCACGGGCGGCGTGGCATACGGCGGTGTGGTCTCAGGTTGTGGAGGTGCGGCACGAGACGAATTACCCCTGCCAATCTCTTGCTCTTTTAAGAGCTCTTTCCTGTTGCCTGCGTATTGCCGAGTGCCGCGTTCGCTTTCCGCACACCGCCGTTTCGTCCTGCATCTCTTTTTCTCGGGCACGGCTGTTTTCCCAATACCGTTTTTACCTATCGCCGGAGGTTACAGACCCATCGTCGGTTGTGATGATGATCAATGAACATGGTGGATATTTAGTTAGTAAATACGAGGATGCGACGCATTACGTTATTGAGGAGGGGGAAAACTCATTTTCCTGCACCCTACAGAAGCCTAGATTGTCCCGCGAAGACGGGGAAAGAAGTTCATCTTTGTCTTCCTCCGACTCCGAAGGTTCCGATTTTTCTTCAGTTGCCTTAATTGACGTTGAGAGGGAAAGCAGCGTCTCTCTGGACAGTGACTCTGGCGAGGAAGACAACGGTGGGGCCTCAGGGGAAGTCAAGAATATTGATGAAAATGAGGAGCAAGAAAAAAGGACTATTCATGTCGCGATGCTGCCACCTGTGACGACAAATGAATCCATGACAGCGACGGAATTTGCAACAGACTCAGTGAACTCGTCCCTCATTTTACCTGTTGTGAATGGATGCCACGAGACAGAAGAACATGATGGGACAACATGGACAACGCCATCGACGTCAGCCAAGACGACGACAGCAATCACGGTTACTGTCCTATGGTTGCAAGATTGTATAGATGGGCTTCTGGTGTACCCACCGCAGGTGGCTCATTCCAGTAATGACAGCTCACAGTGGAACATTTCTGCGTTATTATTAGCGGCACTTATTCCTCCTTCAGATGTAGAGCCGATTTCTTTGTCTTGCTTAAATAACATTGCAGAGGACTACGGATTTCGGCCACTGCAACTATCTCAAATGGGAGGCGAGGTGAATTTGGCCACCGTACTCCAGAAACAATGGGGTTCTGTGCTGCATGTGGAGATGAGGGGAGGGGAGCTGCTTTTGCGGCAGCCCTCAATTCCTCCAAATGAGGCTGGACAAGAAATGGAACGGCATTTGGCATTTATCGCCGAGCAGTTTTGCGATGCATGGACTAATGCAATTCGAAATAACCGGCTTCGTAACATGACTGACTCTGGTACACAAACAGCTGCAGTCCTCATGGCTACATCTGAGGCGAATACAGACGTTGTATTGCTTAACTCAGAAGGAGCCACGGTGGATCCGTCACCACAGGGTAGACTACTTCTAATGCATGCGCTGGGCCCCGCCGAGTGGGCGAAGGAAGTTGACGCGTCCCACATGACATACAATGCGATCCGAGTAACAGAGGAGTCTGTGTCGTTGGAGCCTTCCTCCTCTTTAGCACTGGTACATGAGCCGCCCACAGGGTACGAATCCCCACCGGAAGTAAAAGAGGTCCAGGCTATCAGCGACGAAAAGGCGCCAGCCAAGTTTGCCCAGCGAGGTGTGGAGGCCGAGAAGGGACAACCGGTGGTTGATCTCGCGAAACCACCACCGGGCGGTGAAAGAGAATTTGTAAAGTGCTTTATCCCAAGCGATGGCCTTGGGGATGAGCGGGAAACGCTGGACAAGGATGTCTTGTTGCGCCAACCACCGTTTCGGAATTATCCCATGAAACTTACAGTTGACCAACAAGGCATTCACTGTCTTTTTGTCACTACGTTTGATGCGAAAAGGTTTTACCAGGAGGGCTATGCAGAGGTACGAAATCGGTTTCTGCCTATTTTGCCCGAGTACGGGGAAGAGATCTCTTCGACAGTTGGCACCCGAAAGCGACGTCGTAGTCGTTCGCCGGTCACTAAGCGTTCTACCAGCAACACGTCCAGAGGTAACCGTAAAGATGCCTTTTCATCTAACCGTGACTCCCAGTCGTTCCGGGGCGCTCCAGTCATGGAAAAAAATGTGGACACCGGAGGCAGTACTGAGTTGTCGAAGAGCGACCTCGAACTTTTAGGTGAAATTGGGGCAACGTTTGAATTTGCCTGTCAGCATGTGGACGTGGTTGAGCGGTACGCCCTTAACGAGCTATCAGACCCGGTGTTTCGCAAGCAACAACATCAGTTGCTGCGTGTAGTAGTTAAACTGAAAAGGATTATAAAAAGAGGTAACTGAACAACTGCGTGAATAGAACAAAGACAGATGAATGTTGGGAGCGGCGGTGAGTGCGTGTGTTTAAAACCTGCTTGATGAGGAAAGGGGGCTAATTAAACTTTATATATATATATATATATATATATATATATATGCGCTTGTTTCTTTATTGTTATTCATGAGTGCTTTTTGTTTTAATTTTTCTGACGTTACCATTGTACATTTTTTACACTCTTGTTTTTTTTTTTTTTTTTTTTTTTTTTTTGCGAGGAACAGTGGTGCCAATGTCTATTCCTGATGTGGATAAATGTGCAAGTCGGGGGGCTTCCAACGATGAGGTGTTTCCCGTCGAGCACGATTGCGCTAGACGCCAAGGGGAGAGACAGGAAGAGCCGGAGAAAGTTATGCCGCGTAGAAGAGGTCCCACAGATGATGAAAGGAGGGCCAGCTTGATTATCGTTGGTTGCTTTCTCTTTCAGGAGGTTCACTGCAACACGCTTCGCGCGCTGTTATTTGCGTCTATCGCCGCCTATACACTTTCGAAATACTTAGGCAAAACTCCCGATGCTTCCGCTTTTCCCAACCCCAAATGAAGAAGGCGGGGATAAAGAGAGAGTTTTTGTTTGTTTGTTTGCATGCATGGCTCACAGGTGCTGGTTACGCTTTTGCCTATCATTTTATCGATATTTTTGCACTTTTGTTGTTGTCTTTTCTTTATTTATATAAATGTGTAGCCTTTTTCTTTTTCATGCATTTTGTTTGTGAGATACCTGCCAGGTGTTTTTTCGTGCGGTCGTGCGTTCATGGATTGTTGGAAATCGATCAGAAAGATGTCCGTTGATGTGCTTTTCCCCTTCCAACTCATCCTCGTTTGTTGTTGCTGTTGTTAATTGCTGTTCTCATAAATTCACGCTGAATTCACGGCGCAAAAGGGGGAGTGTTAGGGGCAAAGATAATATTCCGAAAAACTCTCATGAAAACCATTGCCCTCATATCTGGTGGAAAAGATAGTATTCTTTCGGTACTATTGGCGATGCGATATGGGCATTTCCCTGTTGTTGTGGCAAACATTTGCCCTACAGGCGATGAGGGGCCTGAAGAAGTGCACGAGCTTGATTCTTACTTCTTTCAAACGGTGGGCCATGAAGCGGTAGAATCTATAGTCCACTGCATGGGCCTGCCGCTTCGTCGAGCATACATTCGGGCAGGCCAGTCGAAGGTGCAGGACCTTCACTATTCGAAGGAACGCGATGATGAGGATGAGGTCGAGACCCTTTATCGTCTGCTTCACTCCGTCAAGGAGGAATTT